TGAAACGTTTAGAACGGTGAAACACATGACTTAAGGACGAGGAAACAACCGAGGCGGTAGCTTCAGGAGGATGAATTTCGTTGTTAGAAGATTTTGCCTGACATTCTATCCTTTTCGTCGATTGCTCAATCAACAAATGGCCAGTGTGTGAAGTGTTACCACGCTTTTACTCAAGATACAATGTAATTTCTGCCATTTTCAGCAAATTCGTGTAAATTTATTGTTTTGCATTATCTGCTCCAGGTTAAATTATTTCAGTGTAGAGGCTTTTTCGTATAACCTCTTCATTGCAACATACACTTAATCGATGAAAACGGATACGAATTGATTTCTATGTTCAAGTATGTCGCTAATCCTTCACGTGGTGTTCCGTTGGTGGTTTGGTAAATGAGCGACTAGCGATTAATCATTGTGTCGACTTACACATGCAGTGCTGTGAGATTTTTTTATATTCCATTTTAGCGAATGCAAGTAGTTTTCAGGTATGGACTTTGAATGATGAATAAATCTTAGCCTTTTGTTTTCTTAGGGTTTTATATCTGGTATTGGTAAAGGCATTGTCGGAACAGTTACCAAACCAACCGCTGGAGTTCTGGACTTTGCATCTGGTGCTGCAGCAGCCGTCCGAGGACAAGCGACGCGTAGCTCCAGATATTTCCCGCCAAAACAAGCGCGCTTACGTAGGAATTGTTTTGGACCAAGTGGTGCTATCCCACGGTTCTCCAGGACGCATGCTGAAGGCCAAGAAATCATGTTGAAATTAAATGAAGGCAACTTCAACGAAAAGTAAGGAGTTTTCATTGACTTAACAGATTGAAAAAGGTCAAGTTTGAAAGTTGATTTGTTCTAATGTCGTAAATTGCGAAGTTCTATACGAGGTTAACTGCAGCTGTTTTAGAATTAAATGTCTTTCAATCCTATATTTGTCTCCACCTTCGAAACCTAGAAACTTAGATAAAGATTTAAAACCAGAAATGACTTTTTGGAAACTGAGGTAACTTAGCGGGTCTTGTTTCCTCAGGTTTGTGTTATCGGAGTCTGTTAGACGCGATAAGGAAGACCGCCTTAAAGCTATTGTCAGTACAGAGGCAGTGTACTTTGTGCGAGCCCGTGGGATCCCCTCACCGGAGGCTATTGTTCTTCTAGTGCGGTTTTCCGACCTTTTTGTTTGCCAACCTATTGCGAGTGGTAAGTAATTCTCGAAGTGGAAATGGTGGGTGGGGTAGGAGGGAAAGGGACTCGAGCAACTCGTATCAAGCAGTGGAAAGGTTATCAGTTATCTTAATGGTCGCTATTGGCGTTTGACGTTATTGCATTTAAGATTTGTTTACGTGAGGTCTGAAAGAAGAGTAGGCATGGCCTAAAGGTTTAGAGTGCTGGATTTGGAAGTCTGGAAGTCGCATTTCGAAATGTTTTACTCTGATACTCGATAGGCCCTTCCCGTATTCTAAAGGGCTTCGCTTTCAAAACGAGGTCAAGTGAAACGCTGGTCTTGTGATTATTAGTTTTGTTTGCATGATGAAAACGGTTGATTTTCATTACAGAAAGTTTTTTTATATCATTTTCATCTCGGGAATAGATTTGTTCTTCGTTAGTGTCGAGTTCAGATCATCGATGTTTTGTGAATGACCAACTGGTTTGCCTCCTATTAGTCGAGATTTTAAACTATTGAGGTTACATCTCATTTCTCTAGGTATCTGCAATGCCTCACCGTGCATAGGGATACCGAAAACATCCAGATTTAATTAAAGTTTTCCTTTCACATTATTTGGGTTAATGTAACAATTCTTTTGTAAGATTCGTGTAGCTGGTGAGTTAACAACACCAACCGCAGTAACACTTGTCAAACGCGAATTTTTACCTCTGAAATTTCTTTGACTTTAAGCCAAAGACTGTGTCTGAAATTTTCATTTTTAGACGGTAAGGATTACATTGAGCTTGTCATGAAGGCGGATAATAGCAGTATGCCAACACCATCCAAGAACCCCGGCAAAAGACCAAGAGTTAGATGTGATGATAATGTTATCTCTCAGAAGGTTTGTAAAATTTGAATTTACATCGATTCGCGCCACCACAAATTCCTCCGGGGAAGGGGCAGGGGGTTTTGTCCATAAAGGGGTTCGTAGGTCACTTTTAAGTACATCTTTGCAATTCAAGTTGTGCGCGCTTCTCTGAAGTTCGTAAGTCGCGCACCTCAGACATCTTCTTCAGCCACTTCACTTTGCCTAATTCATCAAGAACTGTCTGAAAAAACACGGTAAATAATCATCTACTTCATTACATTTTAACTACATTGTGAATATCTCACCACAAATTCTTACTCATCGCTGTTTACTTGAATAAGCTGAAAATTATATTTAGTTACCCTTTTGTGTCCAAACGTAAGCTCCTTTACAATTAGTAAAAATTTTCGTTATTTGTCGATTTAATCAGGTGGCTCAGAAGATCAACTATGCAAAGAACCTCTACGATGAGGTACAGCAAACTGTGAAATTGGAACTCAAGGAACCGACTTCCCCAGTATAACCAATGGCTGACTATGAAACGGTTTATAGAAGAGATGTTTGTTGACTACAGGGGCTCAATGTATTGAGGAGTTGACAGAGATTCAGGTGCAAACAGCTGGGCTCGACCGGTTGAAGACCAAGTAGAAAGAAGGTATTAGCTGATTAGCTTAAGTCGATCACGACAGTCAAATTTACCTGACCAAGAAAAACGTAGTTATTCATCACGCTCAGAAAAAAGTATGGCCCCAGTGATAACGCTTGGAAGAGTTTTTACTTGTTGATGTTATATTTCTAAATCCAATAGTGAGTGTCAACCTTTTAACTTCCGGTATTGATAGGAATGTATTATCAACGTATTATCACACAAACCAGGTATGAGAATATACCAACTTATCAACGAAAGAGGTGATGTCGGCACTCTACCAACCATTCGTAATTATTATACATGGAAATTTAACGTAAAGAAGAGAGAGTTACGAATCACTTCTTGGTAAAGAAAGGGTCTTAAATATTATCTTCAAAAGAGATTAAACAATCCTTAATTCAGAAGACTTTGAAGGTTATTACTTCAATGAATTAAAACGTTGGTTATTTAAGTAACAAAATGAATTAAGGAATAGGAGGGGATTACTCCTCAACTTTTAAAGCAGTCTCGCGAACTGTTTTGTTTGTTCTTTTAGGCAATTTTCAATTTAATTTCGTTGTTCATGAGGCAGGGCAACTGGTTTATTTATTCACGTAATTTACCCCCACCCTCCCAACTCGCAAACGCACACAACTTTGAATAACGTATTTACAAATTGTGCAATTTTGTTAGCGGAAATATTTTCATGTTCCGAACAAGAATGAAATCTTGTTTACCGAATTTTAGGATGTTTTATTTCAAATGTTTTGGGTAAAGAAATTCATCAACTTCAGCTGAGTATCCTCACGCGATTAGAACACGAGATATTTTGCTTATTTGACGCAAATTTGTACCAAAGAGTTTAGAATTAAAATACCCATAATCAATATTTTTCTCAGGGAATATGCATATTTGATTTATCGTGGACTTTCTCAAGATAGAAGCTGACTTCAATAGGCCATTTTACAGTTGTGTACTTAGTTGCAAAGCCTTTGATTTGGAGTGAGGCTGAAGGTGACCTTGTTGTGAGAGAGACAAGTATCTAGTTAGCATAATAACAAAGTAATTTGCATATAAAAAGCAGCAAGGTTTGTATCATAATAAGGTCAACCTTAGCCTCGCTCCTTTTCAAAGGCTTGGCAACCAAGCACACAATGTGAAATGAACTATTGTGGAAATCTACATTTTTGAAGCAATGTATGTAGAGACGAAAAGATGTAAATTTTCATGTGAGATTTTCGAATAAAACTGCTATGATATACGTTTGCTTCGTTTCCCATCTAGTAATCGTGGAAACCGATAATGACATGTCAAAGACCCGTGATAAAACAACGCATTTCCTTTTTAACTAGTGGATACGCCGCGATAGCATAGAAAGAGTTGTTGTGGGCACTTTGGGATATTTGCTAATTGGCGTGGACTCTTCGTAATTAGTCGGCTCCGAACTTGAGGTCTGTCCTTCCGAAGAAGTCTGAAATCCTGGCGCCATTGTGATTGCATCGATCGTCGCGATGTTTATTGTCTCTACACGGCTGTTTCGACATTTACTAAACTGAAATGGACTTCGAATGTTTCAGATTAGTGCTGTGATCAGCTTAAAGACCAAATTTCAAGGGTCTTCGAATCGTCCATGCGCTAAACATAGCGAGATGCAGCGAGAATCACGAAGAGTTTGAGTGACAGAGCAAGCTGTTAACATGGAAATTTCCACGGAAACATGTATCCGTGACTTAAAAAAAAATTGTTAACTTACTGCATTATTTCTTTCGTTTCAGGGTTTTTACGGACGTTTCGGCAGCTACGCCAATTTTGATGTTTTCGTTGTGGTCCTGTCGTTTCGTTTTGTTGATTTTCTATGCAAAGGTGACTGTTTTGATGGAAAGAATGAAATATGATCGGTTTCTACAAGTCGTTGCCGAGCACGTAACCATAATCTGGCCGGTGTTATTTGATCACTTGACGATCTTTTTCGCTCAAAACACACGACGACTTCCTATTTTAAGCAATGTCTTTCCGATTGATTTCTATCGCATCCGTGGGGGTGAGGGGTGAGGGGTGAGGGGTGAGGGGTGAGGGGTGAGGGTTAAAATTCCAAGAGATAGGCTAACAATGTGCTGCTGGATAGGGTCGCATTTTCACGACTGCATTGACTTCTATGGCGTTGCATTTTCAGCTATTTTCAGTAGAGTTACTAGAATTAATAAACGGCTCCCATTCCATTCCGGTCTTGTCCAAAAGAGGACAAATATGGGGTCTTTAATTGGCCACAACATAGGCTAAAATACGAGGTTCTGAGAAGTCAGCTGCACTTACCTTGGAAAAAATTACTTATGTACCCCCCGGGAGGTTTCCATCACATACTCAGTGACTATAATTTCTATATTTGCAATAGCACTACTTTCTATCTTTTTTTTAAACACCTTAGTTTACTGATAGCAACTTTACAAGTATATCTCTCTCTAATACTTTATCCACAAGTTGGCCAAAGGCGCCCTTTGATTCTATAATTATTAACACATTTTTATTGTAATGTTACAGGGCATACGCAGCAAGTTTATGAGTTATTTCGCTCACTCATGTTCGTTACTGGAAAGTTTCAACCGATTTCGAACGCTTGCGTCTGTTTTTGGACGCTACCGTCTGGTTTTGGTTTATGAAATCTTCTATAAAAGAGTACATGAACAAACGAGATAATCATACATTGCCTGGTTCCATACACTACGTCTCGTATTTCCCCCACAATCCTTTGGTGTTCTAGCTGCTTTCTGTATGCTGTACGAGACAGAACAGAAATCTCATCATAACCATGCCACATTCATGAGAGAAGGAGTAGCAAACTAGACAACTTAAAATTTTATTTTTGAATAGTTTACAACGTATACATTTCATAATTAAATATTTAAAGATACGATTTGTCTGCATTATTAGCTTTTTTCAGACAGAAGAAGAGCTATTCATAAAAAATATCGCTCAGTTACAGCTTTGGTGATCACAGCCAAAAGCAATGCCATTTGAAATGACATACTGATGATAATGGCTATTGGATTGGTTAAAATATTTTCATAATATATTTGCAAAAGAATGAAGAAACACAGCCGAACCATCCTTCAGTCTTCTTTCGCTGATTGCCGTAACCTTAAGAAAAGAATTAAATTGCCTTTATTATTACATTCTAATGAGAACCACCAGATGTAAATCTTAGGATGTTTTTTGGTTAAGTGGGCGTAACAAAATGGGCAAAACGTGTAGGGGGTTTACAGTACCGAGTAGCGTGAAGACAGGAAGAGTGATGGTTCTTCTATTCTTGAGAATTCCATCAGCAAGAAGAGTCCATAATTAATATGCATGGTTGATACTGTGCTATCTTGCTCAAAAATCAGCGAAATAAATTTAACCGAAACAGCTTCAACTTGATTAAGACTCTTCTAACGAATTTACCTTTCGAAGCTTTGGCCCTATAAACTATCTTTACTTAGGAAAGAAAGAAAAAAATTGGGTATCCTCAAATGAATACCGCATTATCGACTTACTTGTTTTCATTAGGATCTTTGGTTTCAATCTTTTGCACTCTTGCCAAAGGCTTGAGTACCAGTGGATAAAGAACAAACCAAATTCCTAACACAACTGGGCCTATGTAATATAGGGACAGCCATGCCTTGATAAAGAAACAAGAAAGCAATTTAGCATTATTGGACTTCCAACCAAAAGTCAACGAAAGCTATATCATCACCAGTGACAGGAGACAACAGATATACGGAAACAAATATTTAAGAAAGATTATCTGTTTAAGGAAGCAACCTTCGTTTCATTTTAATTTGTTTTTCGGTGGATTCCATTGTCATGATCTGACGGGTGCATAGAGAAATTTTACACCTAAGCTGAGGCGGGGACATAAACAGAAGTTACTGCTTAAAATACAGACGGTTTTTTTAAATATTTTCACTTCAGTTTAATTTTACAGGATTTTTTCAATATCATAACAGCAAACTCCACTTGATAACAGTTTCATCCGGGAGTTTACCTTGTGGGATAGGTCTAGTCTCCGCAGTAAAAACGGGACCAAGAAAAAGGCGACCCCTGACAGACGCAAGCAAGCACCAAAGAGGATTACGGAAATCTTGAATAACGGCGGGAAATCTTCAAATGATGTCTGGATTACACGACGACAAAAACTTAAAAGCTGAATGAAATAGGAGAGAGGTATCAAAGTTAGCTGATTAAAGATTCAACTCAAGAAAAAAACCGTATACAAGGCAAGAAGTGCATCGTTCTCAGGTCTTCGAAATTGCTGAGGTTCACAAAGGCGAGTTACACTGTGGATAACTCTTAACTCGTCGCTAGATATTTCGAATACGAATACGAAGAAACATGAAATGACTTTTGATGCACACGTGGATTTTTTTCATTTGACCGACAATAGACCATTTTATTTTGCGAGATATTTCTTAAGGGGGTCTTACCTCTTGCGAATCGAGAATAATCCCAAAACCCGCTAAACTAATAAAACTTGTGAAATCTCATGTTGGTGTGAGTTTTCCGCACTTTTAAAGGGCGTGGTAAGGGAAAATCAATGCAATCCTAATAATTCTCCACCTTGAGATTAGAAAAAGCTCATTTGTTCTTGATTGGTTGCATTGTGTTACCTGTTGTTCCATCACAATGACGGCGAATTCTCCAATGAAGCACAGGAAGAATCCAGGTTCAATTCCATGCCACAGAGCCACGAATGCGAGCGTTAAGAAGTGCGACAGAAGTTTATTACCCAAGAAACGCAGTCTTTTGTACAAATACCTAGAACATCAGAGGGAATAATTTGAAGATTAACAAAAGAGACTGAATGGCGTTATTCCAAGGCCAGAAGTATCAAGAAATAACCACTCCTGGGTCGTGAATTTTGCCAACGTGGACATCCTGTGCGGCGTCTGTTTGGTCTACACGTGACCGAGTGAATAACATCTTTCTTTATTCGACGATCAAGCTCAAAATTAACCATATATTTATCTGGAAAGTTAGAGAGCAAGCACCCAAGAAACCATATTTACCTTAAGTATACCATGTTTATAGAGAGCAAATAATCGCTACCCACTGATAATCCTCTTTGGATTATTTTGTGAAAATATGCGTGCTGTCCTTTTAAACTAGTGCCTTTAAAGAACCAAAATCCCACTTACCTAAACATCCATTGGTTCGTTTTCAAATTAAATGCATCTATTACATGCTGTAGGGAAAGGTAAGGGAAAATTAGGCTCCGACTAAGGTAATAATATATCACAAAGTTATTAGTTGAAAAGGGAACCATATATGTTGCGGTTACAAAACGTCGAAGTAAAACTTTGGAAACATTTTAAATGTGATCAGTTGGTGAAGACATTGATTAACTACTATCACAAGCACTACAACTGTAACATAAACAACGTTTATACAAATTGTGACAATGTGGTAAGGCTTCCTATGAATTAGCAGATTTCTTTTTTTGTTAAAGAAACCGGACTAAATACTTAGAGGGGAAAGGTGGCAACATGGACCAGCATTCTTACTGCCTTCTTTCTACATTCTTACTGCCGCAACTCTGCAAGTAGTTCTCTGATTCAGAACCTATCATGACTCATTAACTCCAGCACCTACCTTCCTTACAGTGTCAATCGTGAATCAAACAATGATAGAGGAATAGGAGAAAATAATTGCCAACTAGAGAATATCTTGATTGTTAAACCTTACCACATAAAATGTAAAGAAAAAAGTATTGAGAGTATATATAATGATGCGAGGGTGTCAAAGGTTAAGTTGTACCTGAAATCTGTAGGCACATTCAAAGAGAAGAAGATGGACGTTTCTACAGCCATCCCATCTCACTTGGCCGTCCGCTGACCGACCATTGTAACCCAAACCTGATATGATACAAGAACCTTCCTGAAGATAAAAGATTAAAAATAAGGAACAACATTGATGCTTGCTAAGAATGACACCATGAACAAATAATCCAGCCTTGAAATACAGTAATGTTCTGTGCCGATCAAAAATAACAACTTGTTTTTAAGTTCATCGATCCAACGCTACAAAGTACGTGTAGACAAGTAATTGTACAGAGAATTCCACATTGAGTCTAAAGACTGGAAGATATCAACAAACTTAAAAAAGAAACAAAAGTGAATTGACGGTATGCCTCTTTTTTTCCTATTTCCTTTCAATAAGTCTTGAAATAATATATGAGTTGGATTATGGTAACCAATTGTGTTCTCTCTGAGCCTCTTCTTTGAAATGTCGATCATTAGAACGTAATACTTACCGCTATTAACCAAACTGCTTGGTATTTCATGACACTGACTTTTGTAGTTGCAATGGCATAACAAAGCTTATACAAGAACGATTTTTTCTGTATGAAAAGGAATAATGGAATCAACTTCCTTAATTTAATCCAGTAATTCTAACATCGGGTTGCGTTTAATTTTTGTTAAATTTTTGTTAACATTGATAGGCAAGGCAATTTCTGGGAACAATTTTGAACATGGATAGTACCGTGTAATTACGCTCGTGTTATGAGCACATCACTGAGGCCACTAATTCCAAGTCGAACGCAAATAATATCATAAGGTCAGTGATGCAGTATGTATAGGCAACTTTTCAACCAAGGTGGTTCCTCGCTTCCAATTTTTTTTCTTTTTTTTTTTCCTCTCTCTCCAAAGGAAGGGAAGAAGAGAGACCCTGGGAACGAGGTTGGATGTATCGCACAAACTTGGACGTAAATAAATTATATATTCGCTCAGTTACCACGCATGGTTGTTAAAATGCAACTTGAACAAACAAACAGGCACTGCAATTACGTCAAATGGTCACCGACAAGAGTTACTCACATCGTACTCAGTAGTTGCTAGGAAGCTCCCTTTAACTCTTGGCTGCAGTAAAGTGAATGTTACCAGGTACATTATCCCAATGGTGAAACGCTTAAGGCCAGCTAAATTCCTAGAAAGGAAATAGAGTAAGATTACTCGCTCATGAAAAAAGAGAGAGTGCGCATTTGATGTTTTGCCGGATACATCAAGAAAGAAAGAGCAAGGAACATGTTGCCTTTTTTCATCATTCAGAAAGGAGGACAATTTTCAGTCGAGTGTCAAAAGTAATCCGAGATTGCATTGGTTTTTCTTTACTTCGCTTTGTGATTAGTCCAGAAAAATTGCATCAGCCTCTCAACCAATAAAATGCAAAACTAAAACCAATCACGACTTGGTCACCCGCGCTTTCCCGCGCTTTAGGCGGTTTGGTTACTCTTACTTTGAGTTCTCATTGGCTCTTAAAAGTATTTTTCTTTCTTACGATTGGCTGTGGTGATTTCTTTGGTTTTGCTCTACGACACTCAATCGAAAAGTGCTCTGTCTTTCTGCCAGCTGAAGCGAAACGATACGGAACAAAAACTTGCGGCAGTGAACTCGACTCACCGAGAATTCGAGATGTCGTCTTTCTTGTCAATCAGACGTCCCTCAATTAGTTCCAAGTATTTCCTTATTGGAAACTTGAAAAAATTCCTCAATGAATTAGGGCTCGAGAGGTCGATTGTAAAATTTTGTCAAAATACATTAAAAAACAAAGATAATCCACATGATTAACACTCGCAAAAGAGTAATGCCTTTACCGTAGTAAAAACTAAACATGAAAGGCATCGACCAGAAGCGAAGAAAGGGGAACCAAACATGACAAAACATAAAGAGGAACATGGTCACCATAACACTAAAACAAAAAACCGAGAAAGCGCGCAACACTAATTTAAAGATTAAATTAAAAAAGCGCGCATCATTTGAGTAACGACTAGACAAGACAACTCATCGCATCAAATGGTAATCAATCAATACAAGGAGAGTACCCATAAATAGCGTAACTATCAAAAAAACAACTTAAGTGCGCGCAAAACTAAAATGATATTAAAACACAACAATAATAGCAATCCAACACTAAGACAAAGAGCGCGCGCGTTTCACTTACATAACAGATACTAAACCAAGTGAGCACACGTCACTACCGTTAAAATCGAACACTAAACAAAACGAGCGCGCACAATTTGGGAACAATCAAGCACGAAACAGAGAGAGCGCGTATCACCAACGTGACAATTAAACAGTAAACAGAGCGAGCACCCACACGATCAACAATCAAACTCTAAACAAAGAGTGCGCAAGCTCAAGCGTTTGAGACAAAATTTAGCCAAGGGCGGGGACGTTACTATCGTGACAACGACACGCAAGAAAGAGAATGGGCGTTACTAATACAACACACAAACTTAAACAAAGTAAGCGCGAGCATCACGAAAACTACACTTGAACGGAAACATAAAGAACGCATCTAAGACGTAGCAGGGAAACATAGGGAAACGGAACCTACATCACCTGATTACGAAAAAAAGAAAATTTTTAATTTAAAAACGGTTGCTTTTACCTGAGGTCCAACGAGAAACCCTCCAAAGAAGAAGCAATAGCTTGCTATCTAAAACATAGAGTGAGTTAAGGTGGGGAGATAGGATTGAACAAAGGCATTATAAGTTTTTCTCAAAGTTAGCAGTTGTGTAGAGAAACTATTGTCTGAACGGAGTCAGATGAATGAAATCTATTTCTTCTAATCTTATTTATCATTTTTTACTAAAAACCACTCGTAGTTTAGTTCATGCTACTTTCTCATAGCTCAATGAAAGCAAATTTATGGGATGAGTACATTTAAAAATGCGAAAAGCAATCAGCCTTGAAATTGCAAACCAATTCATTATTTTTTTTCAGGGTAGATTTAAATGAACGCAAATACTTTTTGTGAAAATAAAAAATTGAGGGCCCGTGGGAAAAGTCTCTTTGACATGCGGTGACATTTTTTATCGCCAAACCTCTTTCCGGATGACATTGGTCACATGTTCATCTACGATGAGTAACAAAAAGTGTTTCAGGCAGCAAAAAGAGCCGATTATTTTCGAGATTTCCATACCTGCAAAAGCGATGGGCAGCTATAGATGGCAGTACTTTTGAAATCTTCAGACAACTTCTCCTGATAAAATATTGTTTGCTAATGTTAATTTCCTCGCGAAAAACTATGTCATTGAGTGAGTGTCACTGTTGTTTATTTATCCATGTATTTCCTAACAAATTGTTTTGCTACATCAGAGGGTAAATGACGCACTAGGTAATTTTTTGTTAGAGACAAACAAGTTCAAGAATTCATTTACATCAGACTGCATTCTATAACATCAATAGGGAAAGAAGAAACGAAATGGTGCAGAGGCGCGAATGGTCACGATAAAGAGACACAACAGCAAATGAGCCGCACGAGAGCTGACCGCTAAGGGAACACAATGCCAATTTTCAGTCACAAGCAACTAATCTGAGCTGTCATTATTTATCGCAATGATATTTACATGATTTCCTCCCCCCCTCCCCCCTCAGGCTCTGTAGTATTATTCTAATCCCCCTCATGGACAGTTGATCTTTTATTGTCCCTCTTTGTCCCCCGACGACTGACACCCCTCCGTCCCCCCCTTAAAATCACGTGATCCCAGAAGATCTTCCAAGCCCCCCTTCCCAGGCGATAAGAACGACTCGTCCTTCAGAGACAAACTTGTCGTGTGGTATTCGCTCGCTGGAAGCTTGTGGTTTCAGATAGAGTTGCTTGAGTAACTTCATGGAATAAGATACAATAATTTTTTTATTAATTTCATCAAAAGATTATCCAAATGAGTTTCGGTGCATATTTTGTTTTACTAACCTGGTCTTGATGTCCGTCGTAATAATCCCAAGCCAAACCTGAAGAGGATTGAAAGATTTGTTGGGTAAATATTGAAAAATTGTAAACATGAGGATAGCTAACAAGAATTAAATAAATAGTGGAGTATACGATAACTCTTATAAGGATTTGTTACGAAAACGTGACGAACCTCAGTATGGAACATTTCAGCTTATTTTTCTGGTTCATCGTAGTTGTCATGGTAACCTCAACGCTATGCGGCTTTCTCTTTTTACTTACCAGTAAGACGAAGGCATAGTACACAGTGAGCTGTCGTCCATGATACTGAATAATCGTTAGAATACGACTTGAAAACGTATCCAGTGATAAGATAACCCTGAAAAAAAAAAGTACAGATAAAAAAAGGAAAAAGACACACAAGCAAACTAAGATAATTATCTCAGACGTTATTGCTGGTGTCTCCCTTCTGGGAATAGGCTTGTTGTAATTTCTAAGATCACTTTACGGCATGTAAATCAAACATGACAGCAAAAGTTTGCTTGTTGTTAGCATTTACTTGCTGCAGTTCGCTTGCGGTGGCCCTTATCGCCTTTAGAACAGGTGTCATTTTTTTTTTCCAAATGCGCTGAGATAAGCTCAAGACGAGCGCAAAACGTATGTGACGAACGTTAGGAGCTCCCTTCGCCCGTGACCGACAAGCTCGACTCGCGCGGAAGTCTGCTCAGATGAAAAGCGCAGAACAAATTGCGCAGTTTCTTGGCCTTTGTTTACCGCAGTTTGCCTGTGGTGAGCTGTTTTTTTTTTCTTTTTAAATATTGGATTTACGTCAGCTACTTCTGTTTTCTGAAAACTGCCAAAAAAAACTTACGATAGCGGCAGTTCAAATTTAACTTACGTGAGCAGTTTTTTTTTACTACTTTTGGATGTTTACATTCTGTTTCGAATATGAGATCATAGACAATCTTACCACATTTAGCAAAAACATCAGGATAACTGTCACGGTTTTAGGTCCGCCGAAACGTAGTAACAAGTAGGCCAAAAGGATGTTAACAACAGAGTGAAAACAAGACCAACCTAGAAACAGAACAAAGGCAAAAACTTATAGTTTTTGGTGACTAGTTGTTTGATTTCTTCTGAGTGACATGCTTGAATTAGTTGACAGGAGTTTGGCAGAAATCTAATGATCATACATGGGGTGCAAAAAAAATATTAATTAGGTTAATATACTAGATTTGCGTAGCCGGTAACCGGTCAAGTCGCCCAAAAGTCATCTCGCCCGAAGTCATGTCGCCTGAAACCAGAGTCATGCCGCCCGAAATTCATAGTCATGTCGCCCCAAATCCTAAGTCACGTCGCCCGAAATTTTATTGAGTGTTTAATCTTGAAGAAAAGTAACAATCGCAAGGAATAAACTCGTAAAATGTTTTCGTCCGCTAACCTATGCGAATATGAAGTACAACAAAGACTCAAATATCGCTGTTCATTTTAGCATTGTTTGTTGCTATGAACTAAACTACTCACTCTACAGTACAGATTATAGTAATTATAAGCGGAACACTTTCAGTTATCAGAATTTTTCACACATATCAGAAAAATACATCAAGTTCTCTTAGTTTGATTTATCGTATAAAAAACAACCTGAAACTTTTACAACGGTTTTTTTTGTTTATTGTTAACCACGCGAACAAAGCGTGTTAGCATCATTCCCCCTTAAGATCAGATGATTTTCAGGCGACTTGACCGTAAACCTGCGTAGCCCTAGGTTTGCGGTTGATTTTTTTTTTTGTTTTTCTTTGTTCGCTGGTCTTTTTTCTTTTAATCAGGAAACAAACAATCACGAATCAGGCTTAAACCGATAAAGCCTGCAACTCAATAAATCCAAAATACCACTTTGGACAATTTTTAGTTACTTTTTTTTCACCGCAGTTTGCGTGACAAGTTTAAGCCTTTTTGTACTTTCTTTATTCAAAGGCTAAATGAACTAAGAGGACACAGCGGAAAATTAAAGGGACTTGAACGAGCAAATCCCAGTCACACTGGATCCGCGTGAGATTGCAGTGAAACTGATGAACTCACTATTAACCGTTGATTGATGAAAAACTGAATTGCTCAAGGAAATGATACCCTCAGATTTTGCCGATTATGTTTTGTTTTGTGAAATACCTTAAGTTAAAAAAAATCAATCAATTTAGAATCGATTTTGTTGAACAAATAAATAAATCCTGCGTGACCAGTTAATTTGTCGGCATGTACCCACGAGGAGCTTGCGTGACAAGTTTTGAATTTCATGTTCGTTTCACTCACCAAAACAAAAGAAAGCTAGCAGAAGCCCACACACAGTGATGAAGAAGTGCTGTGGGGCGAAAGAAGAATAATTATGATTTTAAAAAAAGCTCATTAGGTCATAAGTATTCACTGCAAGTGGTCAATAGAGGCTCTCACCTGAGTGGTTGGGTTCTTCCGATAACAAAAGGCTCTATAAACAAAAGCTAGCGGCAAACCTAAATGAAAGAGTGTGAAGTGGAAGACAAACTTAATGCACCCGTGGAGAATATTCATTTCAAACGCAAAAATTATGAGTGTCAATTTTTTTAAATATTCGACTCGACTTGCCCCTAAATGGGCAAAGCAATATAGCTAAGTTTAAGTTGTTTGTTTACAGCCACTTATGTGTTTTGGGTCCGACATTTGTGTTCATAAAGTGATTTTCAAACAACTCTAATTTTTCATTTTCGTTATGAGTAGGCGACGTAGGTTACTTTTTTAATTGCTGAAATCAATGTACCATCACTCCTAAATTCAACGAATAGGTTTGATCGCTTTTCAAACAACCGTTGACCTGAGATGAGTCTTACACGGAATTTTGTAAAGTGTGTCGCCTCATCAACAACATACTATTATAAATACCTTGTATTACATAATCTCTAAGAAAATCTACCATACCTCGTGACTACTAGTGAAGCTTGTGTTAGGTTAACCAAGGCCAAGTAAACAGGCGACTGAACAGAATTACAAGACAATTCAGCCATGTAATTTCAATCGTACAGTCTACTAAGAGGTAACGGTTCACTGGCGATGAGGTTGTAAGCTTCCGCCTCATATTATCGAACCAGTATGACTGCGGACATGAAGCAAGAGTGTCACCGTTGAATACATACCTGCGAACAAGCTGATCGTTAGGCAAAGAATAGATTCCGCCACTCCAGCGCGCTTGGCTGCGTAAGCTATCAAGTTCTCCGTATTGCTGGCTGTTTCCATTTCCAACCGTAAATACCAGCTTTGTTGAGATAAGAGTATTAACCAGAGTGTTGAAACAAATTCCAAGGAAATTTAATTTGCATCGAGTAGAGCGATAGAGGAATTGTTGCCCATCGTAGATACAAATCCGAGCAACAAGCCTATGCGCATAAATTATTTCACCGCAATGGTGATACTTTCGAAACGGTTTTCCGAGCGGGCTTGTTTTGTCACGCAATCGTGTGGAATTATTGATAAAGTCTTCTGCGAGGGATCGATTTTTTTTTCTGTTTCTTTTTCTTGTCTTTATTTTTGTTTTTGAAAGCTTTTTTTTAGAGACATTGTTCTTTCACGTTCTTGCTACCAAAAAATGTTCAAAATAGTAATCATACGAAACACAATATGACTGAGGGCTGCCAAATTCCTAGAGTACTTTCCTTTCCTTTACGTGTCACTTGATGGATATGCGGAAGTGATAATTTTTGACTTTACCGAGTAACAACTGTTGGATAAATGTCGCAATACACCGCATTTAATTTTAACCAAAGTATCTTTTCGCAGCCGATTGAGAGTATTTCAAGAACTTGTGGATATTGTTGACTTAAAATGAAGCATTGAAGTATTGTGGTTCATACTTCGGTCCAGTCACTATTTATAACGGTGGGGAGGGGGGGGGGGAGTTGGGTGGGATCGGAGTCTTTTTGCGAAACGCCTGATCATAGAGTGCGGCAGTTATTGCAACCAACAGACCAAGAGACGAATCCAAAGTTTTAATGAACACTTAAGGATCGCAAGCTTTACCTAAGTGAGACATTTATGTCACAGTTGAAAACCTTCATTATGAAGTTGCTTCTAATAAAACCCGCAACAAATCGGTCGCTGTTTTAATCAAGAAATTATCTTCATGCACACAAATAAAAAACTCACATTCTCATTCATTTGAAAAGGAAGCCTCCACTTCATTATCGACCGCTTCGAAGTGGCTTAAAATTGTAACCCACAAAAGGGGATGAAAATGAGTTGTATTAGGAGTCTCTTCTACTAACCAATAGCACAGAAACAAGTTCAGGTTAACAAATAGATTAGGCTCCAAGTCGCGGTGCACTGGATCGCAGATGACGTCAAAATGAAGTAAGAACAACTGAGTAGCAGTGTCACTGATGTCCTTGCCACATTTTGACGTTTTCTGATATCTATTATTACACAGACACACGGCAACATAGAATCTATTCGTGTTATACTATAATTAAGAAAATTTTGTCAATAGTCGCATCATTTATGCGTCTTTCCTTCAATAGATCATAAATTAGAAACTATCAAAATGTGTGTATACCTCAGTTTACGATAAAAACCCTTTTGAGACCATCAATATAAAGGAAATCATCATTACCTTTCTCTCCTTGTGAAGAGGAGAGCCTAATGTAGAGCAGCCTGAAAATGAGGTTGAAATCTTTCTGAGGCACACAGCAAAAGCAATACAGAACGATAATTTAAGAATAAGATAATTTAAGAAATATGATGATCAATTTGACAGTTTGTGTTAAAAAAAGCAAGTAAACAACAACAGCGCTTAAAGTATACTTTCCAGTATGACCTGAGCGATGCAAGTGATGTGGGAGGTAGAGCAGATACTTGCAGGAACGTGTAGGACCACAGTTACCTTGACAGTAGCGTCCGTTCTACTCGCTATACCTTACTTACTTTTGTTAAACACTTAACACAGGAGTTGCAATGAAAGCTAGTGACCAGCGGTCTACCGCTGCCTGAAATACCTCTTACCGCTGTCTATTTAGCCTGCTCACTGGGTCTCGCCCCACGGCACAGCTGCCTATAACACTATCGGCAGCCGCTTATGGATAAAAGTTATTGAAACCCCTGTTAACAGCAATGAGAGTAAAAAAAAAAAGCAAACAAACAAACAAAAAGGCTCAGTCTTTTTTCAAACAAGAACATCTGGGAAAATCTACGTTGCTGTGGTTAACACCCTGCAATTCACAGCTAACATAAGATAACATTACATGGAATCTAAATTCCAAATAGGAAACTCATCCATACGTAAATCTAAAACCTATCAAAGGGAAGAGAAAGACTCCTATGGAATTTCTCTAAATAAAAACTACATATTAAAATTGTTAATAGCCGAAACCAAGATGTAAAAAAAAACATTTTTTAACAACTGATAACAATAATAAGAAAAAGATTCAACAATTTTTTTACTGATGTTCAATACTTTAATAATTCAGATAACCGCGTGACTAAGGAACAAGATCAAGTGACGGCCTAGTCTCCTGAGCAGAAGTTGTATGGTCTCGTCACGCAACGCACTCTCTCCCCCACCACTAGGAGAGAACTCGTCGTGAGACGAGAGCAAACAACGGCTGCGAAGGAAACTAGTGACGGGCCAATCAAATAAATCTGAGATTAACTCAGCTTCTTTACTGGATTAAAACAAAAAGAATGTAATACATCTAAAACTAAAATCACACGAAAACAAATTATTCGATTAAGATTGTGCAAAAACTTGCTTGAAAGTAAAAAAAGACAGGCTTCAGTAAATATCTCCCAACACTAGCTCTGGAGATGCGAACTAATAAATGCAATGCCTCTTATGCAGATATCCTAGTTCTCTTTCTTTGACCTGCAAACAAAAAAACTTAATTTACTTTAATTAATTCTTGATTCTGGAATTCGCAAAAGTGTTTCTATAACAACCAACTTACCAGAACTGCCTCAAATAATTATATTAGACACAAATCAAAGTAATCACAACAGCCAATCACGGTAAAGCAAAAGATCACAACGGGCCAATGACAAGTCAGAAAAAAACAAGCAAACTGCCTGATAGACGAGAAAAAGTGAGTAGCCAAGGCACGATCGGTTTAACTTATGCATCTCATTGGTTGACAGGGTGGGGTGAGTTTTCAAGAGAACGAAGTTTAACAAAACCAATATTGGATTACACTAGGAGGAGTTTGTTTTGACAAACCCGGGCTTAAGTGAGCGATATGTCCAATTTTTATGGATGGTTCTAAACCAGTTGGGAACTCGGCTAACCATAAAGGAGCTTCGAAAAGACATATTTAAAAGGACAGTTGTACATCGTCATGTGTCAGTGTGTTAGGACTTGTGTCTTACTAGCCTGCAGAGTAGGCGTAATTTTGGCGAACGAATGCATAGTATTTTCTTAACAAAATTATGGCCGCCATCTTTGATTTTACGACAGCAGAAGGCTGGGGAGGGAAAGGAATTTGTACCAAGGGGGCGGTCAACGGTCAAAAAAGAAGGGTAGATAAACGATCGCGAGCTTGTTACGTTTGCTCACCCTAATAAGACGCCTGCACTGCAGGCCATACGCTAGTGTCTTACCTGTCCTTTTTATCTTGTGTCATCTTTTTAAAGACTGGGTAGATGATGATTGGATAAAGCGAGTGCCATATGACTAATATCACTGGGACAATGTAGTAAATTGAACTCCAAACCTACAAACCACAAGTCGGAGTAGAAAGACTCGTGAAAAATGAGCTGGAAAATGGCACTTAATTTAGATATTTTCAATCGAACATTTTCAACGTTACATATATAATTTTCTTACTTTCAATCGACAACCAAGACCGAATGAAGAGCTTTTTTCCGTTGGCAGTCATTTCCTTTATTCTCAAAACCTTAATGTTTGATTCAGTGGTAATAATGTACGAAGGAGATAGATGCTATTCACTTCCAGTGGTTAATGGGATAAAAGCAACCTCGAAAACCTCTTAGGTATAAGATGTTTAACAAACGCCATGTTGCCCTTCAAGACGGGCATATTTTATGGGGAGAATTTAGGCGAAACTATCCTATTGTGCTAAAAAAAAAAAAAAAAGAGCCCATACTGTTGTACGCTATTCTGAAGATGAAAAGCACTTCAAAGCAACCTCAGTGAGGCCTCATTCAAACTGTAGCCTAAAACCTGATGCCGTGTTAGCCTAAATTCACTGACCCGTCCCCACTCGTCTCTTATTTGATTTGTAGCCGCAGGGTTACGAGGGAATTAGCACTACCAAGACGCAGGGGTCGATGGGAAGAACCTCTCGCGTGCTTTTCTCGTCAATATTTAGCGGTAGAATGACGACTGTCGAGTTCGCTAGATGCTTATAAAGCGTTTACCTACCCTGTGAAAACGCGAGACGATCAATAGATTAAAAGACACCATGAAATACGCCAGGCCAAAATGTACCATGAACATACAAGTTGAAATGACAGGAAATTTTACGTATGCAGGCATCTCTGACAAGGGCTTCTTGGTCACGGTATTACACATACTTAGTACCTGAGTAACGAGTAGAAAACAAAACTGTAAGTTGTATGTTGGCAACTTACATAAATACACAATATATTAAGAAACCAATCTAAAATAGTAATATGGGCACGAGGTAGTTTGTGCAAACACAAAATAGTCTTTAGAAATTTTATGCTTGTTTTCTTTAAAATGTGTGGGAAAACATGAATGATTTGGAATTGAATCGTTTTGCTTACGGCGTGCGTCAGCTTGTAACCGCACTAGTATCCAACACCTTCGTCTTTTCGGTACTTGTATTATTGAATCTCCTTTTTCCTCCTCAATTTATTGTAGTAGTAATTAAAAGGCACCCACTGAGTGATAAAAATATATTTACCTGTTTTTCCATCACCATGATGACAAATTCTCCAAAGAAACAAACGAAATATCCCAAAAACAATCCATGCCACAAAGCAAGAAACATCAGCGAGAGGAAATGCGACAAGTTTTTGTTCCCAAGGAAGCGAAGGCGCTTGAAAAAGTACCTGCAACCACGAACCGTCCAAAATGCTTTAAATGGTTGGTATGGTATAACCTAAGATTTTTAATTCACTTTGTCGAAGTGGAGGTTACATTCTCAGGATGTTTTGTGTTTAAGCACGTACTACAAGTCAAGCAGACATATCAGGATTCTCAACGTAAGTCTATCGAAATACATTACGATGCTGAACAAGTCTGAACATCGCCTGTGAGGAAGCCTCGTTAGCGTTGCGAGGGATCTAGTTTCAGAAAAAACGCAGATCCTTGGCAAACATCAAACATGCCCGCATCACTCGCCAGCTCGAAGACCGCGAGGTTCGTCGCTTTGTCGCTCCCGCCGCAGCGCCAAGTAGAGCCTGCTCAAAAGCTTCTCTGAATACTACTCGGGAGGGGAGGGGGGTAGTTTAATGACTGAGTATTCAACAAGAGACGCTTTGGACATCGCTAGCACCAGTAGTATTCAAGGAACTGGCTCAGTAGAGGAAATAATGTTCACTGACCTGAGTACCCATTTATTGGTATTGATATTAAAGGAATCAACGCAATGCTGAAAGAAAAAAATTTTTATAAAAATTCAATCTACTTTTGGAGTACGATGACTTATATGTAACATGTAACTGACACAGATTCTACAAAACAAAAGGCAGTGGAATTGAACATTTAACCCATCGAGAAAAACTTCTTCCATTTATTTCTTTTCGTTTGATTGTTTGTTGTTGTTTTTTTTTTAATAAGGGAAAGAAAATAATAACAATATTTAAGCATGTTTTATGTAAGAAATACCAGGGATACAGACTGGACAAATTACTGATGACTGTCACATTTGAGATAAAATTATAATTAGCAGCAACACCCCAATTCCTGTCACTCCCAGGATCCAAATACCATTTCTCCACACTGTCTGCCATATTTTTTCTTATACTTTCGTATCGAGAAGTTGGTATTAAATCATACAGTAACCCTTTGTCAATACCTTTTTGTTATTCCCACCACCTTCCCAATTTTGGAAAAATTAATAGATATAACACAAAAGATATTCCTTTTGGCTGCTTGTGGAATGATCATGTGCTTAGTGGAAAGAATGTAAGCCCACTGAAACTGAAGGAGATGAAATTATTTATGTATTTATTAATCAATTTTTTTTCGCTGTACATGGCTATTTAAGCTTTACAAACTAATAACACGTACAATAAAGAGAATCAACTCACCTGGAAAGTGTACATTGTTTCGTACACTGAGAGCCGTATATTTCTAAGTCCATCCCACTTTACTACACCATCTTCAGTTTTACCATTGTAGCTGATTCCAGAAATAATACAGCTGCCCTCCTAAAACCAAAACAGATCAATTTAAGAGGAGGCCCATAACCTTTGGGAAGCTGTTGATACACTGTAAGAAATAATCCAAAAAATAATTTTCACCTTCTTTCTGAACACATGCCAAATTTGGTTTGTTAGTGTCAAGTATGAAATAAATGCTTGTGCTCGTTACTTATTTGTACCTACATGTGATTGTTGCCCTGGAGTAGTTAACCTTTTAACTTCAAATATCAAATTGTTAATTTTCTCCTCTAGCCACTACATATTTCCTTGTAAATTAGTTACAAGAAGTTACATGTTGATAACTTCTGGGAATTAAACTGTTAATGATTTGTTTGTACTCACAGAGAGAAGCCACACTGCCAGGTACTTCATGAATGTCACTCTGCTATAAAAAACTATATACCAGACTTTTGCAAGAAATGAATACTCCTACAGAAAAAAATCAGAGAGAGAAGATCTTGACAGCTTTACACAAATTAGGAGGCTTTTCAAGCACTTAAAGAAAAAAACAAATAAATCAAAGCTGGTGGCACAATGGCTGACCAGGATATAAGAAAATATCATAGAGATAGTGAGAGATCCAGGTAAATAAGCAACCTTCCTGACTCCAAGAAAACTGCATGTGACCAAATCACAATGGGTATTAGCTTTTTAAGTGATTAATAAATTAAAGGGGCACTGCAATTTTTCCCAGCTCAAGCACATCTAACATACAATGTAGTACACAAACATTGAGAAATTCCCTGAAACCTATTAACTAAAGAAATTAACTTACATGTATCTTGGAAAATTTTATATTGTAACTTTAATTTAGGGCATATAGCTTTCTAACAAGTTCATGATAAGAAAAACTTGTCTAGGGTTTTTCATTCAAAAGTTGGAAGTACATGTAACATAAAAATTAATGTTTCTGTCACTCTATAGCTGGCCAATGCTACACCCAATGCATACTGGTCAAAACTGGGTCTTTAATACTTCTTACAGACCTGAAATGCATCTGATAAGAGTCCAGTTTCTGAGAACCATGGACGTAATGCACCATAAAGGGCAAGGTACAGGATACCAAGAACCATGCGCTTCAAACCTGATGCAACCCTACATAATTAAAAATCAAACACTTCTTACAGTAAATGAAAGGGTCAAGAGAAAAATTTAAGGAAAGGACACTGTATGTGACTCAACAAAAAACTTCACCCAGCCACAGGAATTGAACACAAGCCTCAACATTGGGAAATGAGTATTGCCATCCCTGCATCATCCCTAATCCCTGGTTCCCCTGTCTGTTAGGGGAAATCTACAATTTTTCAGTGGACAATTATTGTGCTCCTGATTGGTAATGGGGCAAACCTGTGCAAGCAAGACAAATGATCCCCACAAAATTGTCATAAATAGAACCATGACAAAGACCACCCAGCTTTGCAGCTACTTCATTTGTCTAACTCTTAGGTGTGACTTTGACAAGATTATAATATTGTGTGCACAACAGCAATGGGTAAGCCACTCACCGGCCATTATCATCATCTTTCTTGTCCATTAGCGTCCCATTTACAAATGCTAAGTACCCCTTGGTTTGAAACTAGGACAAAAACAAACAGAAAGACAAACAAACAACAACCAAATTTTCAACAGTACATTTACAAAAAAAGTGTTACAAGCAGCTGAGGATTTTGTGCATTCTTCCATGTTTCACTCCACTTTGAAGGATTATAAAAACCATTTGTGTTGGCCACTTAAATGATTTCGTACTTACCAGGCAAAAATTAGATAATTTGATATAGCACACCCAAAATAAACACTAAACCCAATGACCCTAAAATTATGTAAAAAATTCTTAACAGCATTTAGAGAGGAAAATGAAGTTTTCACAAGACTATGTAATCATTATAGCTGATTTGCCTTTTCAGGTTAAATTATCTCACACTTCATTTACTTAACATCTGTTTTTTTGTGTAAGGTGCAACAATGACTTACTCCCCTCATTAAGAAGGTAATAGAGATCATTGCTGAGAATTCACCAATAACTAAATAAAGGGGGAAGTTTCTACAGAAACTGTGGTGCTGCATTAGTGGGAGAGTGTAACAGGGTAATTTAGAGTTATCAACTGAAGTGATAAAGTAAATTGGCCACTGTAAAGAGTTAAAAAGCTGACTTTCTGCCGAAGGGCTGAGGCTCAAAAATTCAGCTTTAAAACTCTTTATGGTGGCCAATTTTACAAATATCAAACTGCTTGTGATACTAAGTATAATGATGCTTGTTTGTTGAGTATAATACTATGTATATGGATACTTGTTTGTTGTTTACCTGGGGACCAACTAGAAATCCTCCATAAAAGTAGCTAAGACCCATCATCTTAACAAAATAGGTAAAAAAGCATAAAAGATAAGTATTCAATTTGTATGAGGTGCAAAGATTCATTTCACTTTATCACTATAAGTGGTCTGTTAGACTTATATAAATTAGGCAACATGTTGTTAAGAAATTGTTGATAACAGCTTGAGCGTCACACTGGGGTTTTTTTTTTTTTTTAATTTTTCTATCTGTGCATTAAACCCCTTAACCCTTTAATCCCTAAGAGTGACCAGCATCTAATTTCTCCTTACAATATCACCTTTGAATTAAACATCAAGGTCATGAGAATAAGGGAAATGATCATCAACTATAGCAGCTCTTGATTATTAAACAAACTCTCTTTGTCAGCACCTGGGGAAATGTATAGTGAATAGTATGGAGAACATGCATACTGACGTTAGGGCATAGAGGGTTATATCCCATGGGTGACCAAGACAGAATCTTTTTCATTACAATGTTAATACAATGTCTAGTAGACAAGTGATGAGAATAAAGAAAATATCAGTTAGGGATTTCGTTAGTTGAACCTATGCTAAATTCTCCATCATGAAAATTTTATAGCAGACAGTGAGGAAAATTACCAATGAGATCTCAGGAGTGAAACCAGTTAGAAAGTAAAATAATGCACGTTGTAAAAATACTGATAGTAGTTACCAAAATGAAGAACTGATAAGTACCTCCAGTAGTGTCGGGGGTGTTGCAATGGCAGTGGTCTTTTGATCAGCAGATATTTTCTCCTAGAGTGAAAAAAATAGGTATCTCACCAGTCCAATTACCTTCATGTTGTCCTTTACTAAGAGTTCTGTCATGTGTTAAGCTTAAAAGGCATTAACAGGGGCACAATGTTCAACTACCACAAATACTTTTTTTACCTTGAATTCTTTATTCTTACTAATCTACAAATTAATGTCAGAATTTGTATCTTTTGGTTTGTACACAGGTATGTTTTTTTATTTTCATTGAAAGTTGTGGTAGCCAAGTGGTTACATGCTCAACTTTTGATTTGAGCCCAAAGCCACTTTTGTTGTGTTCTGAGGAGAATGCTTTTCTCTTACAGTGCCCCTCTCCACCCAGGAGTATCAGTGGGTACCAGCAATTCAAGAAGCAAACCTCAATGTCATTTCATATACACTGTAACAGAACCTAAGAAGATCTCTAACAGTGCCAACTGCATGAGTTACAGTATTCTCATGTGAAGATGTTTAACATTCATCATCTGGGTTTCTATTTGGTTAACATTATTATTTCCTGGTCACATTTTCTGTTCATGAATGGCAATATGTAAAATTCTTTAAACACTATCTTGACATCACTGACAGTTTCAGTCTGGAATCATATTTGCAGCAAATTATTTCCAAGCAGAATTGTTATTTTTAATATCCATATCTTTGATTTCTGATATGTAGTGTGTAGTAAGATTCATTTATCAGCAAGTTCAAAACAAACCCTACCTGGTCTTGATTTCCATCATAGTAGTCCCAGGCCACACCTAAAAGGAGACATTTTAGAGTCAAGAAATGCTTAATTTAGGTACAACAGAGGGAAATGTAGTGGCCTAAAGGTCTGCAGACTGGATTTTGGGTCTAAGGATAAAGGGTAAAAAACCTGGCAGGGTCATCATTGTGTTCTTGATGATGATAATGATGATGATGATGATGATGATAATAATAATAATAATAATAATAATAATAATAATAGTAATAATAGTAATAATAATAATGACTTTAGACACAAGAACACTGATGAGCAAGGAAAGCTCATTACAAAAGTGTATGTGTATAACTAAAATTAGTTGGTAAATCTATATATATATATATATAGATATATAGATATGTATGTCTTTATGTATGTATATATGTGTGTATATATAATATATCTTATTATAGGGTATACAGGCCATTACAATTACATTACACTAAATGAGAATAATGATAATACATGCACACAAGGTGCATTTACAATCTAACTCATTCAATTTTAATTTCTTTAACTCACTTCTAAACTTATAAATCCTACTAACATCCCTTACTTCTTGTGGAAGATTATTCCAAAGCCTACTAACAACGTAAGAAAAGGAGCAATGCCCAAAATGAGATCTACAGGCAAAAAAACTGCAATAAAGCTACATCAATCAATGACCAACCAAGAACTTACTTATCAGCTTTAGACACAGAATACACTGGGGTGTGGGGGTGATGGGGTGATGCCCAAAATGAGATCTACAGGCAAAAAACTGCAATAGAGCTACATCAATCAATGACCAACCAAGAACTTACTTATCAGCTTTAGACACAGAATACACTGGGGTGTAGTCCAGTTGACGTCATACTCCCCCGAGGCATTGTAGATATAGCCACTTAATAAATATCCCTGGAAAAAAAAACATAAAATAGCAAACTGAGTGTACTATATTCTTTGTTGAATCCTTTATTAACTACTAAGATACTTAAATCAATACCCAATCATTTGTAACTCCTTAAAATTAAGCTGACATTGTAATTTAACACATAATTTTTAAAAATAAATTCAGTGGAACCAATTAAATTCTCCTCACAAATCCATATGTACTGTAATTGTGCGTAAGTTAGTTGGATTGCACAAAGTTTCTGAGTTCATTTTATACCATGACACAAAATATGGTAAATCAGAATATAGGAATGCAGTTGTATACTCACTGGTATTAAACCCAACCCTTCCACTGTGTGTTGATGGTGATCTTATTCCAAAATTTAGTCTGTGGTGCCACTTTCTAGTTCTTTTGAGTATCTTTTAAATCACTTTTAATTATTTGCCATATGGTACACAAACTCCCATAGAGAATTATATATATAAATATATATATACTGAGAAAGTTATTTGTCACTAGTTGAAAGATTTGAGTGGCTGATACGTGTACATTCTCAGCACATGCAATGTGGGCATGGCAAAATGTATAAAAGAAGTGCTATCAGAACTGACTGTTTGAAGACTGAGATCTTTCTTTTGTTTGCATCAAACAGTAATGTGCTAAAGAATTACCATAGAACTATTCCATGAGTGTGAGTTGGCCATAAATTCTAATCTCAAATCTAACAAGTGCAGAAATTGTTGTTAATGATGGAAAAATATTTGAGATGTCCTGTAGTTCAAATACAAATGTTGCCATGTTATTTACCATAAACTAAGATCTAAAACTTACCATGTTGAATAAAAACATGACTATAACCATGTTAATGGATGGCCCAAGAATGTGTACCAGCAAGTAGGAAGAAGTAATGGTTATCAGGGAGTGAACAGCACACCAGCCTGGTTAAAACAAAAGGAAATGGCAGATTATTTCCAGCTTCAATGACTGCTTCTTAATACTTAACCTACATATACCATATACCTTGAAACTTGAAACTTAAAACTTCTAATTATTAGAACTTATTGCAATTAGAACTGAGACCTTGATGTTTCTTTGTTCAAGTTCACTTGCTATGATCCCAGACAAAAGAAAACAATGCAAGTGGATTTACAAATTTGAATTACAACATTATTGTATCTACTGAATCTGATATAATAGTATTTATGACATTTCACGAGGAAATGTGAAGAAACAGGGTACATCTTACCATAACAGAAAAGAGCCAATGAAAGCCCACAAATGGTGAAATAGACATGCTGTAAAAGATCAGTATATAATTTAGGATGGTTTATAAATTAAACATTATCCATTCAATAAATTGATTACAATGTAAGTAAAAGATAGAGTCTGCAATGAAGCAAAGGGACTCTCCTTGCCACAATTTATTTCAGTTTCTGTAGAATGAAATGACTGGGAGTAACACTACTCCCCTGGATGAGACGCTAGTAAATCAAAGATTACCTCCCCCTCCTTAAAAAGCATTTCATCAAGCTTCCCTGACAGAGTGTCTCTACTTACTTATACTACTGGATGGAGAGAGACATTGTGAGTGTCAGGTGTCTTAGCCAATAGCACAACACAACGACTCTGCCAGGCCTCAAACTGAGACTGGTCTCCCCTGAGTCCAGTGCACCACTAACATCCAGAAATGCATGCAGTAACAAAAATGGCAGTTTTGATGAAATTTCGTTTAACTAAGTGAATTTTCATGGATTCAATAGTTTTAGCACATTTTAATCAAATTCTTCAAAGCAAAATATCACAGAATTGATGATTTTGACAAATTTTAGTCAAATTCATCAAAGCAAAATCAGTCTGATGGATTTGACGACTTTGACAAATTTGTGCCATTTTCATTACTTCCTGCATTTCTGGACATACCCAATATACTAAAGATAGGCTACCAGCCACAGCCGAATGACAAAAAACAAAAAACTTTGACTTACCTGAAGAACAGGTTTGGTTCTATAAAAAAATGCTTGATAAATGAAGGCCAAAGGATAAGCTAAAAAAAAAATTACAGTACTTGTCATTTATAATCATCAATAGCATCTTTGATTTCTAATATATACATTACTGGTTGATTCATCAGACACCTTCCTACATTTACATGTATGTTAAGGTCAAAATGTGTTAGCAGATTGACATCATCCATCTATCACCTACCCACACCTTTCAAGCAGTTCTACTCGCTAGTTTATATCATATGGTGCAAAATCACTGGAACTTATCCTGCAGACTATCCCCTGCATACATCAATATTTGTATTTTGATTATTTCTGTCAAAAAGATACAAAGCCAGCTTGAAAAAAGGCAGCTCAAGAATTTCACTTTTCCATCTTTGTCACTTTTATATAGAGTCAAAACAAATTTGTTTAGTGGAGTCCAGTGGTAGTTACATTAAGAGGTTGATCTCAAATGCTTCTCCAGAAAGTACAAAAAAACCAACACAAGTTGCTGTGAATGCATGATACTAAAATTAATATGAGGGTTTTAAAATAAACAAACCCTCTTCTGGCTTGCTGGTATGTTGGCTGATAGTGTCGTAGCCAAGAGATTGTTTATATTTTTGTAACTTGGAGTGAATACTGATCGTCACTGTAAGGGACCCCAAAAAGATGTGTGACCAATAATTTCCATCTCTAAAGAACTGTATCTGGCATCTCAGTAGAGGTAAAAACCTTTATCAGAGAATGCTTACAGCTACTACGTTTTAACTGCTATCAGATTGCAGTTAACACTTGCTTGCTGATAAAACTAGCTTGAAATCACCTTTTTCTGAAATTCATTTGGAACTACAGCACACGTGCAGTGCCATAAGTCGAATGCTACGTTGCCTTCAATATTAGCCTATTAAGTTAGAAGCTATATTTTGTTAGCCTATGAAGTGATCTCATACAAAGCAGTTGGGTTGTGCACTGAAGCAGATAAGTGGTGCATTTGGTTTCATTCACTTGACAAGATGTGGCCAACCGACGAATCAAAGTTTGGTCAAGTGTGGAAAAAAAAAGTTATGAGGTCGAGGTCAACAAATTTAATTACAAATAAATCAAGCTTTGACTGTCTGGTCGAGTCCTGTACCTTCGGCGGACTGCTTTCATAGGCTTGGTAACCGTACTTTCGTTCGATTTCAAGCGAATTAATTCTCTCCCAGTCCAGAAACAAATAAATCATAAATTACGTTTTCATTTGTACTGGTCGATCGATCAAGTGTGCCTCTAACTGTGACTCCTGCCATAAAATACCAAAACAAAAAAACCAACGACAAAAAAAAAAATACACGAAAAGAATAAACACTTGAGAGGAACGTGACTGTCTGCGATGCAAGAGACTATGACTAAACATAAAAAAAGATAGCTTTTTTCTAGAGTCGTTGTAACTCGAGATTCGACCCCATGATTGTCCAAGATGTAATCGTCATCTGGCAAATACTGCTCACCACAAACAATGTAATCAAAATTACCTGAGAATAACGCGATGACTAGACGAAGGGCAGCATCTGAAAACCCAGATGCCTTCACTAAAACATCTATACTACCGAAACCACCACAATCCGCCATTTTATTAATGTTATCGACAATGGCACCTGGCGCCTGGAACCGAGGCAAAAGAAAAATATCTTGGATAGGGGCAGGACAGGGTGAGCGATGATTACAACGATTAAGTTTATCCTCTTGTTATCTGTGATGTTTCATTATAAATTAAGATCACTTATTGTAAATTCCCATTCTTTTAGGAAGACTTCAACTCGACTCGATCTTCCTGAGTGTGGTCGATTACCTATCACGTGGTCACGATGATGGCAGATCACGCGATCGCAGCGTGCTGCTGGCTGGATAGCTAATATTTGTCGCTGAACCAAAGAAAGCCATTAGATAGTCTAGATAGATGCATGTCCGTTTGGACGCAGTGAAGAGTGTCGATGACAGATTCGGGTGTCATACCTGATCTTTTGATAAAATGGCTGGGTAATAAATGAGCACTCGAAAAATGAACCTGAGCTAGTTCAGTTTTTTTTACCACGCGGGAAACCAACTTTGGAAGCCCAAGAGTGTTAGGCGCTATGGGAAGTTTTTATTCGACTTCGTATGCACCCGGGACGCGCTATAAGGACGACTTGGAACGAGTTTCATGCAGAATAGAGAAAACTACAACTTTTTAAAAATCTTAGTGTTCCTTTAAGTAGAAATTTAGACCTCTAAGAAGGACAGAGATGATTTGCCAAGAAAAGTGGATACAAAAATCTCGTCCAAAGAAGTACCTGGAAAAATTGCGGAAAAACTGTTGAGCCAAATAAACACTCTCTTTCAAACCATGCTCATATCACACACTTTTTCTGTCCCATTTCTTTTTCGTATACTGACAAGACGGGAGGTACCTGAGCTATTTCTCAACGTGAAGTAGTAACATTCTGTGAACAATGTGTCCCAAGAGGTTTTGTCTATGATTGTTGCCTTCCGAATTTCCAGTGTCATTACGGAGCCTCAGCTTGAAAAATAGGATCCAGCCCTATGAACTAGAAAGAAGAGAGGAGTAATCCGGTGTATAGTGCTTTATTTTGTGGCTTAAAACCAGGGGGAGATGCTGATTCGAAACCGGCTGCAAGGCCTTTGATCATACTCTCATTTGGCGCTACTTGACGAGCGTCTCGATCTTGCGAGGCCTGCGGGAGGCCCGTGCCAGACCGCTCTCAGACTTTCCGCCGCGAACAAAGCGAGCCAACTCGCCTCTGTCAGACTTTTCAAGGATCGCGACATTCTAGAGGAGTTGCGCCAGAGAGAGTCTGCTCGTAAGCTACGAAGCCACGCCCGAAAAAAACTAAAGTTTCCAAAAATCGTCAAAAACCGATATTTTTGTGCTGTGAGGATTACCTTCAGACAATAAAATTTAATGTGATAAAACTACGCATGATGGCGGTTCATGGCGGAGAACAAAGCGGAGATGTCCAACTGAGCTGCCAGAGAGGAAGTTCCTATATTCTTTGAAAACTTTTATTTTTGATATGTGGGCAAGCGAACTCCAACAAAAAACGTACAAAAAAGCACTTTCGTTTAGCTGAAGCTGATGGAATTGGGAGGTCGTTTGAAAAAGCTACCTTACTTTCATTTGCGCATCTAGAGCCCACCTTTTATGGAGAATGTTGCTTAAAAAATCGTCTCAATCTCATTCATGTCTGCCATACCAACCCCCGCTATTCTCCCTTGATTATTCATTTCTTCACTGGCTACAACCCAGTTAACATAACATTAACGTACCAAAGAGGCACAAAAAAAAATACTCGTGAGTCGTCAACATTTTTCAATCAGATAGCACGATTAATTCGATCAAAATTCTCGTACAGAGCCTAACATACTAACGCACTGCCGTAAGCATCTCGAACTTCGCCGATCGAACAGAAGTAGAAACTCGTGATCGGTGTCTTATGGCTAACAGGCGTTCAACTCTAACATGCGAAATAGAAATAAAAGTATAAAAAAAACTGTGGAGGTGCTTTCCAGCCTGGCGTGCCAGTTGTCAAGTCAAACGACCTAACAGTGGGTGGTTGTTGTGTTTTCAGCTGCTCACTCAGTGCGAGCATAACTTACATCTAATATCGATAGGTTTATTAAAGCGCGGACGCATCACAAGCCACAGGAGGCTCTGGGCAATTGTCCAGTGACTGTTGGAGTCTATAATGCATCGGTGATATGTCTTAATAACATGACACATTTTAGGTGAACGGAAAATAAATTAATAATAATAGCACTACCGCGGGGGTATTCTTTTACTTACGACTTCCTTTTTGCTTCAAAGGCACCTTAAGCTTGTTTGATTGCGCAGTCTGCCAAGGGTTTATGGGTGTCGACATATCAATGTAAATTTCCATCTGCCTTAAGAACTTTCAACTTTTTTCTTGCTATATTTACACAGAATCCGTTCGGATCATTTAGCTAAAAAACCCTTAGATAACTACGAGTACAACCCGTACAAATATACGAATACCTTTCTTGAAAAGCTCGAAACATGGGATCGGCAAAAATAGATGGAAAACGTATTATGCAAATGTTGATTTCTTTCGTAATAGATTCAACTATAACATGATAGAAAGATCTTCCTGTGAGGGGGAATTCTGTATGGTTTTGAAAGTATTGTTGACTAATTCGTTTCTCGCGTGACTGTCTGTTTTTTCTCCTAATTAGAATGGAGAACATTCGATCGTTTATCGGGAAAACCCTCGAATTTATCTGATGTCACATGTCAGTTTGATCTTAGTCTAAGCAAACTCGAAATTAAACAAAAAGACACAGTTGATAAAACCGACTGATTTTAAAATGTTATCTCCACTAAACCTTAATTATTAATTTAAAGTAGTCCTTCGATTACAGGTTAAATTTCTGTAGACAGACATGATTGCATATAGGAACGAAGGAACTCGTAGCTGAGCGGTAGAAAAAGCAGACGATTTATAGCTCATTACAGGAGCAGATCGTCTATAAAAATTACACCGCCCTTTGAATTCACTAAGAGGGATTATATTTTTCAAATCCAAATCATCTTCTAAAGTCTTTATGGACACTCTGCGCCAATGTTTTGAATAAAAGCCATTATAAAATGCCGAGGAGAAAGACAACTGCAGTTTAAGTTGAGTTCTTCATGATAGCTGACCGGGTAGAATTGCTCAAGTTTGTTTTGTAGGAATTTTATTTTCACGTGAATGTTTAATGATGGGTAAGCCGCCGACCTTCGTGTTTAGACAGCTATCAATTTCAATCAGTCTTAAGATCCTAATTCAATCCCAGCAAGGAACAAGGAAGCAGAACTTGGCACAGGTATAAAAGCCGATTATTAATTGATCAGTTTCGAATCCATCGTGTGTTTTTCTTTTCGCTCAAATGACAAGCGCGTCACGAGAGGAACCGAAATAATCCAAGAGAGATCCAATAGGAATTATCAAAAGAGAAGAAAAATGTGCATATCAGTGACGGTAAGGCTTAGAAACAATGGACAGATGTTATGTTTTTGTCTTTAATCTCGCTTACACTTCACCATTTTGAAGTGCTCTTTGCAGGGGTGTCTTTTACCTTCAGAAAAGGTCTTTCTTGGCATTGCCCACGGCAGACTGTAAAAATTGAGCACTTTAAAATTCATGCAAGGAAAAACTAACTGAAAACTAAAACTAAAATGTTACACAGAAAGCAGGCAAAGAGCTTTGGAAGGGATGTACATGAGCAATGGTTAAATAAGCCAAGAGTGTTTCATTGTCAAAGGACGACTGTCGAACTGTCTCCCGTTTCTCTCATGTCTTTTCCTCCTGTTTCCAACAGACCTACGCTTTCTACTTCTCAATACAAAACAATCCAAAATCTTAGGAAAATCGACAGAAACATCCTGGTAAAAAAGGAAGTCACAGAGGCAAACTGAATTTTTACAAAAATATACTGTTTTTAGTGAAAATAACCATTTATATTTACCTTGATTTTATTGGTCTCTCCTTCCATTGAAAATATCGATGAACAACGGACAGCAATGAAAAAGTATAGCTTAAGTTTTTAACCAGAAAATAAAACTGCAATGGTCTTTCACAATTGCATATGCATTCCCTGAAAAATTTAATAGTCTTCACAATCTCTGTTAACCTTCAATACACCAGAACTGTAATGAAAGCTTAAGGCTTTTGTCAGCAAACATCAACAAGTGATGTTTTCAAGTCTCCTAAAGGAGTCTGAATATTATGAGATCACAAAAAAAAAGTTCTTTGCAATTTCTAAATGATAGATTGAAGGTGTACAGCACATTTAATGTTCCTCAAAGCAAGTCTAAAAATGAGTGATGGAAATTGGTAGTATGAACTGTAAGGATAGGTGAGATTTTTTCAATGCACTTGTTACCAATAAGGAACTAACAAGCAGACAAATTAAGTAAAAATCAATTTTTTAATCACTACTGTGGGCAGTTTAACTAGGAAATATTGTAACAAATAACATCTAGATTTTGAACCTTTTCAGCCCTTGAAACTGGAAAATAAGCAATTGTGGGGTTGCGCAACAAAAAATGGTAAATGAGTAAACTAAAAAAAAATTAAAATTTTTTAAACATCTTAGACAAACTTCTTGATAGAGGTGTGAGATATCCATGACTTTTTGAGAAATCAACCAGCTTTATATATTTGGAAGAAATAGTTCCTATTGATTTCTGTACTTCTCTGTAACATAACAAAAGTAAAATACTAATATTAATAGAAACTAAAAAAAAACATTTAAATCTGACTAACACTTTGGGAAAATAGCCAATACCATGATTAATGAAAATTACTGGTCAAATGAAAGCTTTGGAAAAAACCCCAAGACTGATGCTTTAAAGATTTACACCTCAACCCTTTACATCCTTACATTAGCATTCATATGTTCCACACAGTTCTCCCAACTTTCCTATGTTACTGACAAGGATTATTTTTTTGGAAATAGATAAAGAAAGATGGAAAGTTTTGAGCTTGGTAGAGAAATAGAGGAAAAAGTTTTTTTCTGCCTTGTTACGAGTATGGAAAAAAAGGAAAAATGAGTCCCCACAAGAAATCAAACCTAAGACCTTCAGATTCCACACTCTAATGCTCTACCACTTACCCACAGAGACTCTGTGATGTGCAAGGCTCATTACGAAGTTCATATATAATAAGGGTCCTTCATAACTTTAACTTATCATCTTCTTATCCAGTTTACAAAACATGATGCTATCAACATTGCTGATCCTACCAGTGTGCAGGACGCTTGTCATACATGAGTTTCATAAGGGGCTTTACTTACCATTGAGTCTCTGTGGCTCAGGGGTAGAACACTGAAGCGCCTCAGATGGACTCAGAATTTTCTTTTTGTCCCACGCTTGAGACATAGAGAATTTGTTTGACAATCGAGAGCTTCTAAACTTGGAGATCATTTCCTAAATCTCATGACCTCAACATTTAAATCAAGGGTGATACTGTATGGAAACATAAGAAGCTAGTCTAGAGGGTTAAACATCCCTATTTTTCTACAAAATACAGTAAATGGCTGCCAGTGTGTCAGCTACCCTTAACAGTTAATATTTAAGTGACGTATCGCCGGGTAAATTAGAAACTTGACGTATGTTAACACTCAGTAGCACTTGAATAAAACGACAATTTTTACACTAAAATGCAGCGGGAAAATGTTTTTCAGCGCTACTAGAGAAATCTTTCGAAATTTAGTACGCCCGAATACAGATCTTCGATCTTAGAAATTGCAAGCAGCCGAACCTCAAAATTATAAATCTGAAAAGGTTACGTTAATTACCTGGCATACTCTTCCCCCAAAACTTGCCACTTTTTTCTTAAAGTCAAGTGTCGATTCTACCTACATAAACCACATTACAGCATCCTCAAGTTGCATATAAGTTCATGACTAGCTTTGGGCTTCTCCAATCTTTCAGCCATCTTATAAACTCTTCACAAACTAACTATGCGTACTTAGTTTGTCAGCTGACTCATCGCGGGCGCCACAGTCAGCCTTGCGTGTCCATGTGTTTGTCAAGTGTCACGTATTTGACAGTTCGAGAATTAGTTCAAGGAACCTGCCATAAGGTGTATGAAACACGCAATCATCTGCACGAATACAGAAATAAATTGAAAAGCCTTGTTAAGAAAGGCATCACGTCTAGTGCCAATGACAATATTTTCTTAGCCGAGACACGCGAAGTAAGATCAGGATGGAAATATATATTTTTACGGTTTATTATGATTTGTTGTACCAGCGAGAGTTTGCCAAACAGGTACGTGGGCAGTTCCTACGTGGTTTTATTTTGGACGACCCACGCTAAAAAGGGTAATTTTAGCCGCTTTAATATTAACTCCACAGTAAGAAAAAAATCATCAGGCTTGAATCACAAAAATAGCATCCAAGATTGTTTTCTGTGTTGCTACTGAAAGAAGTCAAATGCGCAAGAACCTTTGGTTTGGTTTAAAAAAAAAAAAACTATTTCAAGGAAAAGCTTTTTACCGTTAGAGTTCTTCTAAATATCTCTTTCCGGTGGAAACCCTCAAATTTTGATGTTTCATTTTGGAGGTATTATTCTGTATTCCAGTAATGTTGTTGACTTCCAAATTAATTGCGGTTTAGCTCAAGACATAAAGCTTTGACCCGAGTAACCCCGCTTAACAAGAGGGAACAAATGCAAAATAACTCATGCATGAAAAGCCTGTGCAGTGATCAGAAAGAAGCCATTTGTTCAGGTGTTCGTGTGCAAAATTGATCATGTACTGTATGTACAAATATATTTTAAATTTTCATAAACCCTCACGGTTTACCTTAAGTTTATTTTCTCTAGATCGAAGCTTCTTGGTGTCCTTTCAGAAATCAGCACACATACTTAAGGGAAGGGAAAGTGTCTCTTGATATCAAGTGAATATTTTACAAATCCCGGTTTCTTTGAAGTGAGATTTGAAGGAAGTTTCATTGGTTTTTCGTGACCTTTTTGCTACGATGTGATTGGCTGAGTGTATGCCCCTTTTCAATAAAACGCGATGGTAGCATTTTGCTGCGGGAAAGTCACGAAACAAGTAAAACGCATTTTTTAAGTTTAAATTTAAACAGGATCAAATTTTGTCAACGAAAATTCATTGTAGTTAAGGATCTGCGTTGCGTGAGTGAGAGTTGAGAAAATTTTTAGCGGTTTTCGGACCGTTCGTGACCGAAAATTCAAACAACAGTGGGTTATTAATACAGACGAGTTCGGTTCCTGATTGGTCCGTGCGAAACTCTTTAACATAACTCTGGCTTCTGGTAAGATTAAGCTTTATTTAACTCACACCACGCTTGGACTGCTTTTGAAGAAAACATTACGCTGATTCGTGTCAAGGTGGCGTGTTCCTACGGGGCTTCGTCGCGGTATCCAAAACTAAGGCTATAACAGAATGCGTATGTGTTTTGTCATTTTCGGTAAAAGATCCTAGCCATGAAGAGATAAGATTTAAAGCTTTACCATAACGACAGCTTACTCGAACGATCAAGGCATTCCTTAAAATGACACGAGGCAGAGCTATCTTCGAGTAATTTACTTGGTATCAGTTGGAAAATCTTGGCATTTTCTTCGAGTCATCCTCTTGGCGGCTTCGGCGAGTGGATTGGAGACTCATTCATTTTTCATCGTGCAACTTTCGTGTGGAACAACGTTCGAAGATTTCCGGTAGGATTCATATATATTTAGAACACTTTAACATTAATTGCTATGCATTATTCTCACTGGTTCTTCGAGCTTTTCCCAGAATAAGGTTATTTTTCCATCGCATTCAAGTTTAAGCAAGTCTTTAAGGCAATTGTGGTTTCGTCATGTTCGATCTGCTTTGAAACAAACCCTGGTATTCGGATTTCTGCGTGTCAAGAGTTGTTAGAAAAGTGCCCTGTCCTTCTAATTTCAAAATATTTCTTCCTGAGGACATCCTTAGTTCGTTAAAATGATTATCGTCTTTGTATTTTTGACATGATAGCTTTGATTATTTAGAGGCAAAGATTATGACACAATAGCCATTGCTTTGTAAACGTGCCGGTTTTTACAGAGAATTTGAAACAAATGTTTTTTCCAGAACCACAGCTTAGCAAAGTTATTTTGGTCAGTTATTTCCCCTAAAATACTTATCTACAAGGAATTGAAACTGTAGAGTTTAAAAATGGCTTAACTTTTGTTGTTTGGTGTGAAACGACCTCGAGTAAATAAGGTTCCACCAGCCTTCGTGTTGCCTGCATACAGCTGAATTCATTACATAAAAGTATTTCGTAATACATCATGAGCGAAATTTTCGTTTCATTTCAAGATTTCTTCTTGTTGATATAACTAAATTACTTCAAGTTTCGTCTACCGAAGCGCAAGTCTCGGGGAAAATAGGGCGTAATGGGAAATTTTGAGCGCCTATGCGGTATCTTGCTAAAATTCAATATGGCGTCCCAGTAAGGGGCCATGAGCCCAGCTATCAATCAATGCAGTTGTTGTGCGAAAAACATACTGAGACCTAAATAGAAAGACTTCGCCATGATTTTTAGGCAAAACAATCCCAAAAAAAATATAACTGTCTCGGATATTTTTCATGTTCATGATTTTAAGGTAAGATTTAACCATCTTCAAGAAATTTTTAGACGTCGTCGATAGAAGCAAAGTTGGAGGCCTTGTCTATAATTTCACTCGGTTTATTCTGTGGAAGACATCTGGAATGATAATATCTTATTTTGCTTTGTTGGTGTGGCAATTTTTGGTGAAGCTATTTTTAAGTGTTAAGTTCCTTTAAACAAGATACACCCCCAAAACAGGGCGGAAAAAAAACACAAATGATAAGAATAACATAGCGCCACGTAAGTTGTTTCCACTCCGGCTAATTCATCTTCATGCTGCACTTGGATGCTTAAAATAGCCTTAGACTACAATCGCACAACTATGAAACTCAGATGTTTCCTTCGTAAATCTTGCCGTAAAACACTGAATCTACGGGCTTTCATATTGTCTTCCTAGAGCTGCTGAAGTAGGTTTAATCGTTCGCCTCGTGTTCGTATTACAGCAGAGGAAAGCTTAAAATTCAAGTTTCGCAAATGTCAAGTGCCTAATTCTAGCCTTAGGCTAATTGCACCTAAATTGCAATGCTTTATTTATGTCCTGTGGAACGACGAGTTTCTGTGAAAGGATGTATGTGCAACGATAGAGGCATATCACCACATGATTTTATTGAAACCTTGCGTCTAGGTGCATGATATAACGGAAACATTTTTGGTGAGAACAAAAGATTCAGTGTTCTTTCAACCAGCAAGATCCGTTCAGTTCTAGATTGGCATAAAAGATATCTTTCGAACCAACTGAATAATTTTCATCTTGTAGAGTTTTGGCCTTTTTTGTACTGTATCGACGAATCGAATATAAAATGGCAATGGCAAAAATGCTAGGTTCGTCGATATGCCGTCTCGATAATCCTGGCTAATATAAGCATAGAATGTAATTTTGTTGTTATCAGACTTATTGAATTGTCTGGGAGTTATAAGATTACAACAAGAAAAGCGTTATTTCTTGAAAAAAACCTCGAGTGATAATTCATCTGGGGCTTTATTAATATTCCTAAATACCGAGCTGATTTAGAAACTTTGTCAAAAGAGGAAGCATTACGGTTTCACCCATGCTTTTGTCTGCCCTTCTAAAACCGGATCAGTATTAATTTCAAATTCTTTATTCGCTGCATACTTCACTATGCATGAATTGTCTAATTTTTCTCCCTTCTCAAAAGGTTTTTACTCAAAAACATTTGTTTATTTCTTCATGGAAAAAATGCCTCGAAAGTGTTCAAGTGGCCACACAGGCTAGGGATATCATTCCTGGTTTCTCCAATGATAAGATTCGTCCTGGGCTATTTTATCAAAAATGCATTTAATATGTCCGCCTGGACCCATATTGTTAATGTTGTGCACGAAGAATTCTCACTCCAGGATAAATGGTTATATTGCTCTTAGAAATATTTTTCACAAGCTCATGGCTTTGTTTCTGGTGCATCTATATGAAAAGTTACAAGGCTTGAAAGGAAGTTTTTGAAAAAGGTTTTCTTTCTCTTGTTGGTTAGTTTCATACCCTTTGTCTAAAAGATTTAATAGATACTCTCTTTTAGTCTGGTCGATTCTTAGTCTGGAAATCAAACACCCCAACATGAAAAGTTTTCAACAAAATGCCAACACCTTCTAATTTCATATTTCGACAGTCTAGTGTCTGCTGGATCAAATATCACTTAGTTTTGAAGATACGACCAGTTTGGAAAGCTTTAACTTAGAAAGATCTGTATTCACTCCATTTTACCTCCATTACTTGGAGAAAAACGACACGTCAAGAATTTTAATGAGCATTTAATATCAACCCCTTATTTTTGAATTTTAAGATACATAATTACTCAAAGATAACACAGCCTAAACTAATGGTCTGCGGCGGCTGGCTACTATTCCAAGAGAACATAGGACAAAACATGTTTATTTTCACTGTGAGTGTTTCCACCTTAAGTAACTGATTGTGTCCGAAATAATTGTTTTAATTGTTATGTCTTCTTGAACGAAACAGGAAAATTGCCGGGATGTCCTCAGGGCCATCAGAGCATAAGAGGTAACTGAATTTGAAAATCGACCAACAATTAGCGGTCAGACTATTCAAGCGCACCTTTTGGGAAAGTGTTCTTGCCAGGGATTTAAGATAATCTCTGGTGCGATTAATTAAAGCCTGGGCGGGTCTGATATGCATTTTGCTGTAAATGACACGCGATCTCATTTCAAGATACGATAAAATAGCTTGATAGAATCAAGCCTACCCTCTGTGCTTACTCAAACCGACAGAAAACTTGCATAGCAAAACATTTCCGTTGGTATGCCAGCTTTTTCTTCCTTTCCGTCAACGTTTGTATTTAGCATAAAACTCCGGAGTTGAATTTCTTTCATTTGTGAAAGGGCCCAGACGACAGCTGATGGATATGGCGCTGGAAACTCATTGTGCTTAAGGCGCACTAGTAATTGGTATTCAAAGTTTAGCCAAGTAGGGGCCAAGGCTTCTTTCTACTTTACTCATTTCCTTCAGGTTTTAGTCCGACGTAAGAACCTCTCCTACTTTCATTTCACTCCAAAACCAAAACCGTGAAAGACAAGTGTATTTCAGCAAAATTCTCAGCAAGTGATGTTGCATTAGTTCAGCTCACCATAGGGCGATTTAGAATCGTTGCGGATATCTTTTCTTTATTTTTAACGTACATCCAAAGTAAGAGACTTCTGTTTCCAAGCAAGTCTGAATTCTGTGACCTATCGTATTTTTCCTTGGATGCAATTTCTCGTCTTCAAGCAAATCTCAAGAAAAGCGAAAGCCTTCTGTTAAATTGGTAAGCTTCTTAACCAGCTGTGCTACGATCCTACATTGCTTAAAACCACAGGATAGTGTGCAAACGCTGTCCGTCGTAACTGTTCATGCAATATAAATAATTTTTGTCGGTTCAGCTAAGTAACCTTTAGCAAATTTTTATTATACTCTTCCACTGTCCGCTTCCTTCTCTTCATCCCTTCATTATGCAAATCATGGCCAATGACGTGGCTCAGCTCGTGAATCGCTTTCGAATTTTTATGTTTCGTAAACTGTTTAGAGATGCTCTAATTAGATAATTCATTTTACGTTTCATTTACATGATAGCTCTGGCTTGAAAGTCTAGAACTGAATACATCTTATGTTAAACCATTCAAGCTATCAGTAAACTGCATATAAAATTTTATTCTTTGTCTGAAAAATTGTGATGATAACTTCTGCTTTCTAATTGGATTCCTGACTTATGCTTTCTACATTTGGGGAATAACTTAAGAGTAGAACCAATCACTAATCAGTCGCCACTTTTACTTCCAAAGTTTCGGTACGTAATGATGAATTTTAGTTTGTAGAATTACTATCCACTTTTTACCTAAATAAACTTTCAATAGAAGGCGTTTAATCTTGTAATATTATATGGAAATACTACCTAGTATGCTTTGTTAGTGCTGAGGTAGTAAGCTATTATCTTTGGGAACCACTGTTTGATAGACGTTACCATCAATACCTTAGATCTTTCATAAAAGCATCGTTTTCGGTTTTACAACACATGTAAATTGTCGGCTACTAATCTATCTCTCGGTTTTATTTTATTTTCGGTTTCTAATCCTCCGTGCTTTTCTTCACAAAAAACATAAAAACAACAACAAAACATAGACAAACGCTGATTTTCAAGGGAGGCTTCAAATGGGCTTGAATTGATTCAGACAGGACATATTGGATTTATATCTCAGACACTACTAAGCAGTCACTCCGAATCCTACAGACACCAACAAATACAAATATTTTATTGATTTCTATTGATATTTATACAATTCAGAACGACTGCCCAAAAGTGACTGACCTAACCAGAAACTGTTAGGAAGTCGTTCTGAATTCGATAAATATCAGTAGAAATCAATAAACTTTTGGTTTTTGTTGGTGTTTGTAGGAATCGGAGTGACTGCTTAGTAGTGTCTGAGATATTTTTCTTTATTATTTAGAAGAAGTTGTATTTATTTTTCGTATTTTTAGATAAATTTATATATGTTTTTATTTATTAATATTATTTATGTATGTTTGTGACGCGACCCCATAAGCCTCTGGCTTAAAATATTTATTATTATTATTATTATTGCATTTCTCTGAAGATTTGAAATTCGACTGTCCCTGAATTGCTGGTCTCCGCAAACTCACTTTATCAGCTTTTGCTCATGCAGAGGGAGAGCCTTAGCAGCTTACTTAAGGCTAAAAATATGATAAAATAAATATCTGACATATTTTGAAATGCAAACACTCGCTATAGACAATTACAACAACATAAGCTAACAGACTGAATGATTTGATTACCTGTGGTTAACTTAACATTGGTAGAAAACGAAATTGAATCAGTGTTATCTTGTTACGACAAATTCAGAAGGAACAGTTCGTAGGAAAGACCATTGATGAAGCTTTTACTTTATAATGCTGTTCATTACTTGCGCAAAAACAGTAATAACGTTTTTGGTCCTCTGCAAACCTTTAACTTAGACAAACTCCATTTCTTTAACAAACGAACTCCTTCTGACTTCCGGCAAATCAAGTGGCCTTGTGACCAGGCTTTTTTTTTGCCATAGTGCTGCTTAACAGATTAAAAGAATACTATTAGATTTATATTCTGTTTTTCAAATCGGTATAACTAAAACCCACTGTGTTATCAGAATATTAATCCCCATCCTACCCTGGATAAAGTATTTGAAAAAAGGATTTTGCACACGTGCTTTCTATTCGCTACCTTCTCCGATTCATCACACATCTGTGCAGTAAAGCTCATGGTACACGAGTTTTCGTAACCTAAACGGATTATCTTTGACCGTTTCAGCACGAGTTTATCTTAAGAGAGCAAACCTCACGAAAAGAGAAGAACCCAGAAGTTACAAGATTGTCGGATCAGACGGATTATAAGTAAAGTTTATCTCAAATTCATCAAGTTGTCTTTGAAGCCTCTAATAAACTGTAACGGTATTAATGGATTTTTGTTTGGTGTGTGATGCAAAGCACTCGTATCGAGATCTTATCGTAGGGAACTCTCTCTAATTACAAGAAAGTTTGAAAGATTGCCGCAGTGCATTGATAGAGATGCTCTCGACGTAAAGGTTCATTTTTTCCGCCAGTATAAGAGTTTCATTCGAATGGCAAAAGGCTGAGACTCGGAGAGAAAAAGAGTGGAACAACAGATTAATACAACACGTTAGTTCAATTGTTTGTTATTCTTGTTCTTCAGTAAACAACCAAAATTAGCTTCGGTCCCATCTGAAGTGTGTTAAAAATTTATTCTTTTAAACAATTTTGTCGTATTGTTCTAAATATCTAAGGGTCACATACGACAGAATTACAACCTATCATTTTATGTCGCAGGAAATTATGTTTTTCAATTAAAACTGATCATGAAGAACAAAAATATATGTACAGCAATCATTTATAAAAAATACTCTTTTGGTTTTTCTGTGTTAACAGTTAAAAGTTGGTTAATCCTTTTTACCTTTTTCTTCATTCCACGTGAAATTCCAGTGGGGGAGCCGTTCCGCTTTTGTTACGAGTTTTATTACATATCCGCAGGGAGCAACGGCATGTGAACCGTACCGTTATCTAAGGCGCTTACTAAAAATAGCCACGAAATTGATTTTAAGCCAAGGGTTTAACTTGGGAGGAGCAGTATTAGAAAAGATGCTTCCATGGAGCATAAGTTGGAAAGGCATATTAAAATTTCTCCCATTACTCTACTTCTCACGCATGCTCGAGCATTTTCAAAGAGCTTAAGGCTAAAATTATGAGTTTATATTTTCCTTTTGTCTTTGTTTTACATACATTCTGAGAATTAGCATAGTGGCATTATCCTATTAGTGAAAAAGGGTTCTTACGTCCAAAGCCTCTTGATATTATTGGCTATAAAGTTTAACTTTGTTTTTATTTTTTATTTCATTTCATCATGGGTAACCTTCGCGAGTCATTCCATATGTAAGTCAAGTTTCCGTTTTCCACAAACAAAAGCTAAAAGCTGGCAAAACCACGCGCTCTTAAATTCAACGTTTATCCTCTGACCAGCTTTAGCTCTAGGGTAGACAGATCCAGTGTCTCCGTGTATATGTATAGAACAGAGCCGCCTTTCTTGAGCGCCTTGTGAAGCTGAAAAAACCTGCGCCTCCACCGGTCACGCTAGCGTGATATTTCAAAAGCAGTCTGCACGCAATATGTCAATTCTTTGATGGCGTGTCTCTTCATAGCAAGACGCATGTTTGGACACAAAAGAGAACACCATCCACTCTGGCAAAATTTCGCGCACGACTAGCTTTTTTTGTGAAATTTTAATTACACGTCCTTATGGAACATGTGCGCTTAACGTCTATCCCGATGGCATCTATTATTAACTTCGATTTCACCTGCATCTTAGGCAGTTCATCTGCTCAATTTACAGGTTTTCAACATTCTTGCGTAAGTGGTGAAGATGTCGACAGCATCTAACATCCGCGTTTCAGTTAACGGAGGAGTCAACATTTTTACAGTTGAATTCAAGCGCACGATATCATACCTTTTCCACCAACCTACCTCTGTGGAGGTCATTTTGCATCGCAGCAATTTTGTTCCCTTTCATCTAGCTATGTAGAGTCTTAAGTTTTAGGAAAATCTTAAACCATGAGAATAGGCGATATGTGGAAAAGCGTTGATCCTATTGTTTAAAAATTTAATATTTTGCGTTACTCAATTTTTCCCAATTTTATTTTTTTTTCAGATTCCTTTATAAAGTGCACTCACATCGAAGGGGCAACATAGTCAAGCGTTGCAAGAAACGTGTGTTGACGAACACACGTTTCACAACTTCATCAAATAAGACTGAAATAGAGTAGTGAAATAGATGGTAAGCTGGTAGGATAGTGGTTGTAGGCAAAAAAAATATAAAACTACATCTACGAAGAAATTTTAAGAATATTTTGGGGAAACCCATGAAGCAAATATTCTTGGGATACTCGTCTCTGCCACTCGTATTTTCTTTCACGTTTATCGATGAAAGAAGTACAAGTGGTAGGGAGGGGGTGTCACCAATTCGCAGTTGTCATTTGTTGGACTCCTATCTAAACATTAAAATACCTTAAAGGAGCAATGTCTCACATGGTATGATTCTCTCTGAAAAATTGCCGTTATTACTAATTTTTTTTCTTCAAGATCCATTTGAAAGCTAAAAATAACCTAACGCCACAATTGCGCAATAAGAAAATTTGGAAATTTTACTTGTAAATCTCCGTTCGATCAGACATTGGATCTATGACGGTCTTTTGTATTTTGTTCCCATAATTGCATAAGTAAGGCCAAATATTTCCACTTTTGTCCGTTTTACTGCAAAGAGAAGCATAAAATCTAAGACTGTCAAGTGCCTAATTCCAGCCTTGGATTAACTGTACCAGGAAATATTAAAAAGGGGAATCCAATGGGATAAATAATCAATGATTCGTTTACACAAAACAACTCAATGAAATTTTCAAAATTTTCTAGTTTCCTGCCTGACAGGTAACCTCACTTAAAGCTAGAAGTGCGGAGAGCATATGGCTTTTGAAACCCAGTAATATTGGTCAGGGTCGGCCAGGGGGGGTAGTGGAATACCAATATACCCGAAAAAAAATCGACAAAATACCCCAAAATACCCCAAATTCCTCCAAATATACCCAAAATAATCGAAGCTTTGAATACTTTATACCTGAAATTCAAAGAAAGTGATATACTGAATACCCATATTTAAGCTGCAATATACCGTATACCCGATTTAAAACGCCCCTGAATACCGAATACTCAAAAACCCTGGCCGACCCTGATTGGTAAAACCCTGAGGCCAAAATTTTTGCCTATTATCCGTAGGGAATTTAACACTTAGATGGTTAGGTAAGGCGAAAAGTCGCGAACAAATCGTTGTGGGTTTTGTTTTAACCACACGTGAAGCAGCAATCATGTTTACAGTATTTAGGTCCATGAAGTTTGAAAATGATGAAGCTTGATAATTGTTACCTCATGCATTCTTGAGAATTCTGGGTGTCGTGTGATACTTTCAGGGTTTAAACCGCTCAAGCCCTAAGAGTCACTAGCAGCTAATTTCTCCTCAAAATAATCACAAGTAAAAAATTAAGGTCAGGAAAATGAAGGAAATAATCACCAACGGAAGGATCTCTTGACTCTTCTTGTCAGTATCTTGGAAAATGTGCAGAGAACAGTGTTGAAAATATTCACAATGTAAACACTTAAGGGCGTAAAGGGTTAAAACGGAGTGGATGATAAGTCCGTTTAGACTTCATCAGCGTGATCGATTAGAGTGATCTTATCCTAGTTCATGGCCAGCAATTAGCACCAATTACCACGCGCGTTTTGGGGGTAACGTGGAACGTGAACTCTAATAGTGCAGTTTTTTTTTTTTGGGGGGGGGAGGGGGGGAAAGAGGGTCATGCTACGTATTTTAACCAATGTCCTTAAAATAATACATTGAAGTGACACTATCAATAAAATGTCTCTCGTGCGTTCTTACCCACACAGTTTGTCAGTCAAGTTTTATCGAACTCCTCATAAATTCATCTAGTGCGTTAAGCTGAATTTGCTATTTTGGATGCTACTAACGCTATGCACATTATTTGGGACCCCATCGAGTAACTATCCCTTTTTTTTCTTACTCTTAAAATGGGTTGAACCACAGCGAAGAGTAACCCTTTACCCGTGAAAAGTTTTTAGGCGTTTACATGACTTGCATGAATTACATGAATTGTTGTCACTCCGAGGGACCTCCAAGGGTTGACGATTGCCACGCAAACAGTCCCCTGACAAACCCTGATCCTGCGAAACATGATTAAGGGCGGCTTTGCGCGCAAGAACGCACCCCCGAGAGAGAATAAACAGAAGGCGGCGCGGTCGCGCGCGAGCGCGAGAATCCCGAGGACATGGTGAGCTTGAACTGGGCCTGGAAACCACCAAAATCGGTGTTTTGCCTTGAAGCAACACATGAAATTCGTGGCACACGTAACCAGGATGCCGAACGATGCACCCAGAAAATGATGTGCTTCGCCCAACGACGTAATCAACCAAGTCACTGGTCAAGACTGGCAAAAACTGTAGGCATCGAGGCTATGCAACTTCGCAAAACAATGTATAACAAGACTGAATTCAACGAGTGGATCCACGATCGCAACGAAAGTGCCCCACGCTCTTCAAGTATGAAAAAATCACGCACATGGAGAAACCCTATGATGATCGAACATGGGTAGTTCAGCTCATGGTCTCTTGAATCGAGTCTTGGCCTGTTTGTGTAATTTACGACAGAGAAAAAAATAATTTCTGTCCTCAGTGATTTAATTTCTTCTCAAAAACATAATAGTCTCGCCCTTAAAATTAACTGACGGTCTTCCAACATAACGACACTGAACCTGGTATTTCTAACGTTGATTGGTTATAACAAAGTTAGAAGATACACACATCGATCAACTTTTGTGGTAATATTTTTATTTGACTCTTTAAAACGAAGTTCGTTCATTCAACATTCGTTTGGGAACTTAACAAATTAAGCACTTTCAGTCTGTTTCATATAACATACCCGAAGTATATAAAAAATATTTGATTTGTCAAAATTGTCAGTATGCAAAATCCAGACACACGACATACAATAACAACCCAATTTGAAGCAAACGTGACACAACTGATGCATTGAAGTTCTCAGCGAAGATACCAATGAGTTATAAAAAAATATATCAATATTGGCAAAACTTACTGAACTTACCTGGAAACGATTCAAAAGGTATAAGGCTCCTGACATAATTTGCATGAAATCATTCCAAAACCTTTCACAATGGTAAACGTTTAAGACTCTTAAACAACTTACTCATTCGAGATTAGTTTAGAATTATCTGTAACAAGAAGGTGAATTTGTGGTCTCCATACCCTAATAACAAATTTGCCACCAGGAGACTTCCTAAATCTTGTTATATACTCTCAAAAAAAGTAATTGAAGCTAATTAAAAGCAAAATCTGGAGGGCTTGGAGTATGGAAGCAGAACAATGTCACTTAAGCGCCCTAAAATTTTGTTCTGACCTCAATGATGCATTCCAATTTCACCTTCAACCCCATGACCCAAACCTCTTACCTGTGAACTAACTATAATTTTTGCCTATAAATATTTTCTGTAGTTTTGTTTGATCATTGAAATGCCACTTCTCAATGACTAAACTGTATCTAAGCTGAATGCCAACCTACTCTTAGTCAATGCATGCATCAAGAATACCTTATTTCTATAGAGATCCAATTTGTGCTCTTTATAATGGATGGTTAATATCTACACTATTCTTTGCAGTTATGTACACTATACAACTGGAAATCTCATTGGAAAACCAAAATAATGAATTTTTGAGGTAACAAAATAATTTATATAATTATAATAATAGCAATAATAAATAGCTCTGGTTGTAAGCAATTTTTGCGTGTGCTATATTCTTGAAGTGATTTGTAATAATATGCTTACTTAAACATAGCCTCTTAAAAGTTCTTTTAGTGTAATTTCATCGAAATTAAGTTATTACATATGTATCTTTAAATTTGCATGAGTGACCATTATAAAAGCAACCTCCTGCTCAATAAATTAAAGAAAATATCAAAATTATTCGAAAAAAAAGACCAACTCTCTCCACAACAACCCCTACATATGGTTTAATAACGAAGTTCGGCTGCAAACTAAATGTACGTTCATGCTGGTTATCAATGTAGTGTGACACATTCAGACTTGAACACTCCACAAAAAGGAATTCTCTTTATGAAACTTCAATAAAAAAATATTCCTACCAACATTGTTAAAATTCTCGCCAGCTGTGGGCTTCTAAGATCAGCTTTAGAAAAAACAAGTCATTTCTCTCAATTCCATCATCAGAGACCCAAACATAGAAACTGCTATCCATCAGACCCCAATGAATCCCAGAAGGCATTTTGATTTGCCAGTCTCTGATTAATAAGGTCTAAAGCACCTGAAAACACAAATCCCCACTTTTGAAAAGCAACTTTGTACCTAACTGACATTCTGGACACAGTATTGATTTCAGAAAACTTCAAGTTTTCATACTTTAGGTGTGCTTTGTTATTCAATTTAGCACAGTTTCTTAGCTGGAGCCTTGCTTTCTTCCCTTTCTTCATTGAGGAATTTTGAACTGTGCATCTAGCTTTACGTTTCTTTACTTTTGGTGAGGCTAGAATGGTACGTGAGACAGAAGCATTAATGAGGGATTTTTCAGAGTAGTCATTTACAACTCTACGCCCAGAATTTGTGAACCGTCCTCTTTCACAAAGAGTAAAACCTCCTCCACCATATGGTTTTAATTTTTCCTTAATGTCCTCCACCTTGACAACAAGATTTCCAAGTGGATTTGGAGACTCTCTCCTAAACACAATTCCATTGGAAAGTGATGACTTTTTCTTACTCGCAGCAACAGCTTTCTCTTGAAGAGGCACAAGCTTTATTTCAGGAGAGAGAAGGCTAGTATTTGAGTTCATAGGTTTTTGCCTTTTTCCTGACAGACATCTTTCATTTGGGGCCTCGACTTCATTAGGAAAATTGTTCAAAATAATTGATTCATTTCCATCTGACACTGGACTTGATGGAGGAGAATAACTGCTGAGGTCAAAGGATAAATTTTCACAGCCGCACACGGCATTGTCATTAGATGAAACAACACTTGAAGGAAAGACACTTTCATCCAGATGCCATCTAGAATCACTTTGCCCAGATACAACTGATGTCATGGACATTTCCTCGTGTGAAGGATCTCTTTGTTTCTTATGTAAAATAGACACAAAGAGATAAAATGAACATTAACCTTTTAATCCCTGAGACTGACTGGCATCTTATCTCCTTAAAGTTTCACCCACATTAAGGTCATGAGAATAAAGGAAATGATCATCAACTTATGAAGCTCTTGATTGTTAAAAAATCCTTTTCCAGTAACACAGGAATTGTATACAGAATGGTATGGACAATATATGCCTACTGACATTAAGGTGTAAAGGGCACAAAGAATAAAATTCCAGGGATGTGATTTCCTTACTATGCATTTGTACTTTTTTGCTTCAAAGTACACCATTTTTATCCAAGATAAACAAATGTAGAAAAAGGGATAAAAATGGGCTCAAGGGGTGCCTCTATGCTTGCACAGCTAGAACAAAGCAGCACCAAAGAACCAAATATTTCAGTCCATTGAAAAATCAGATGATAATTACATAATTGATACTTACCAAATTATTTCGTGAAAATTGTGAATAGTTATTCACCCTTTCTGACTCAGAAGATGGAGAATCATCAGTCATATCTGACATTGTTTCACTACATTCAAGATGAATGGGAGTACCAGTGGATCCTGATCTGTCCCACATTATAGGTGTAAGGTGTAGTGAGGCAGTAAGTTTTTTACCAGCAGAAGTATGTGCTGATTCACTTGAGGATGATGAAGCCACAGAATTTCTTCTTGCAGTCACCAAAGACTTTGAATAAACAGATTCTGTGTTACCATGACTTACTTCTGATAAACAAGGAAAGTCCATAGGAGATATTTGGCTAACAGAGTCAGAAACTGTACCATCATCAGTTAGAATATCTTTGGCAAGCATACCAAGTTCATTTGTGTAGTCATTTGATGTAACTGAGGTGATGGCAGTGTCAGCATGACAATGCTTTCCAAGGAAAGGACCCTGAGATGGTGGAACAGTCCATAGAGAATTTCTAGCTTTGTTTACATTAAGCACACTGCTATTTCTTTTCCTCACAAACTCTTCATATTGTTTCAATGCATTTGAGGGAAGTTCCTTTTGTGACATTGGCACAAGGCATACTTTGGCACTCAACCTCTTTTTTTGATTCATCATTCATATCTTTTTGATAAAGCTACAGCTGCAAATTAAATAAATAGAAAGACATAGGGTAAGTAGCACATATCAAAATTTTTGAGAGACATCATCCTCTTTAAGCCAGGTTTATTAAACAAAGGGCATTCATCCAATAGGGGCATCTAATGCAAACTTACCAGCATAGGTAGCATTTCTTGGACAAGAGGCATTTATCTGAGAGGGAGCATCTACCAGATCGTTTACAGCACCGTAATTCTTCAAGTATAAACGCTTTTGTTAGAACATAGTAAAGCAATGGAACAGCACACTATTAGTCTCTACTCTTGGTCTGTATTCCATATACTTTAGTCCCGCAAATGTCCTATTTTGCTCGGATGACAAGTAAACTGGTAAATTATGCGATCAGGAACATGGGTATTCCCTGACTGTAGGAGATTTGAGAATTACTGGGTATGCAATAGCTCAATCTGTGAGCTACATACGAAATTGCATGTTCGTGTAAGGTTCAAGACCATGTGGATTGCCTTCAGCCATTTCCTTCAGCGTTCTCCGCAATTCGTTTCAGAAAGCTGTTGGGTTCGCGTCCGTGCACCTAAATCACGATTATTTAAACATACGATATCTTTGTTAATTAGGTTAACATCAGGTAAAGCATGTTTTCAAGCATCGCAAAAAAAGTACGCATTATCTATCTTATAGCTCAAAATCTCTACTGTTTTCACTAAAAATCCACTTAATATCACTGAAGAAACGATTTTTATGACAGAAAGAAACACAAACCATTAATACGAATGAAAACAACGACAGATTTTCGAGTTTGGCGTTCAGAATATTCACTACAATTATACGGTCAGCATGGCCATCATTTCATTCCGGCAAGGTTTCTACGACTTTCTAGTACAGTAAATTCTCAGGGGCCTTACCTTCAACGTGAAATAGCCAGAAAGAGTTCAGCTAAGACGGCTACATTGATGCGGATGTCAGGAAAGCATGCAATCGAGGGTAACGCTATATCGAAGGTGTTCGTCGAGGGTAAGAGTACACGGTAATTTTGGTCAGCGGGAAAATTATGAAACCCGCGAATATTGCGAAAGCCCGCGAAAGGATGACATCTAAAAACTGAAGACAATTTTTGATTAAGACATTAGAATGCGTAATGATGGCGGTGACTAATCATTCTTCTTTAAATAAATCGGAGATTGACTTCCTTGAGGAAAACCTTGAAAATTGTTCTGTTGAAAACCAGTACTTCTTGGGTTATTTCGACGGGATAAGAGACGAGTTCGAGGATACGCTCGAGAGGTTTCTTTTTATTAGTTCTACATGCTTTGAAAAGAAGGCCTTGAACTCAAAGGAATTAAATCACAAGAGGTTTTCGAAAAATGGTGAGCAGTTTCTTTTATTTTTAGCTAATTTTTTTGCCTTTATCAATTCGGTGTGGGCCTTGTAGAGACTTGATCTTTTGCCGCAATTTTTAAAAACTTATGCAATGCACCAAATATTCAAAAGTATTTCATATATAGGAAAGCCCTTGGAAAACGCTCTAAGTGCGTAATCTAGTATACCTAAATACTTTTTCAAATTATGCATTTGCAGCTTCTCCCGTCTTTGAACACAATGATGGTAATGTACCGATCCAATTTTTTTGGAAAACAGTGTTGACAAATTGTTCGTATTACTTAAGTAAAAAACATTGAACTTCTCTCAACGGACTCAACGCTGCAAGGAGAATCTCTCTCATAATTTCCTTTTTAAGAGACGACATTACCGTCTAAAATTCAAACGTTACTGTTAGGGTTATTAGCGCATTGACAACCTCGTAAATAGCTCAAACATACTGAAAACATTTTTATTAGTTTTTGTATATCTTTATCTGTGAGCCACATGTCAGTAAACAAAAACAGAGAAGTATAGTTTGATGGCTTGTTTTCATGAATCTAGGATTTTGGGAATCGCTATAAACTACGCGATCACGCATTTAATATATTTCTTCTTCTCCTAATGATTGATACTGGAAGAAAATGGTAACGGTGTAATGCTATTTTATGTGCCCGTTATGACAAAAAATTTGTACTTGCATTTAGCTTACAGGTAAAATCCCATGAAAATTGTTTAAAAGAAATATATCTCAGTGGTTATTTTATGACAACCACAAAATACTTAAACAAAATTAAGAAACTGCCGCAGAACCTCAAAGCTCCTTTGTTCATAACGATCTTGAACAATTATTTTTTGAATTTTTAGTGGGCGGAAGCTTACATGACTTATTTTGAATTTAACCGCTGTACTATAAGCTTGTGTGTTCGACCCTTGACGAACGCCTTCGATATAGCATCACCCTGCAATCGATAGCTCTGCCGCGAACAGATCACTGAGTGGTCCCGCGTTCTCAATTTGCAGCGGAGATTGCAAATAAAGATATACACGCATTTATGTCTCTGGTCGTGTTCAGAGTAACTAAGGTCTTTTTATTTAAACAAAGTTTAGCTGTTGTTTAACAAAACCGCGTCCTAAACATTCCTAAATTTAGTTGAACCTTTAATCTGACATTGATTTTGTAAACAGCGTCAAGAGGGCCGAAAACTAACGATGGAAGGACATTTATTTCATTACATAAACGCTCTTATATTTAGCCGAGAAAGCCTGAGTACCAGGCGTAAAACAGCGGGCCCTAAGGGTCGAATAAGTGCTATATACAAGGAATAAAAAAACTCGAAAAACAAAATTTGAATCATGGTTTTCGACATTGTCATGCAAAAAACTTCCGATCACTTAGCACAGAATATTTAAAGCACAGGATGTCTCTTTGCGCGCTTCTGCTTAACTGAAAGGCAGTAAATTGTCGGCTCACTTAAGCACGCCTAGAAAAATTGAACTTATCGAAGAGGAAATGGAGAGATCGACTGAGAAGAAGGTTACTCGTTGACGCCTTGGGTTTTGTCAGTTCTCCTCAAGTTCAGTTCATAGATATTCTCTACGATAAGAGTCTGAGGTCCGCATGTAGCCTTACCTCGATCTCAGTTATTTTCTGGAAAAAGGTAATAAGATGGCGGATCGCTTGGAGTGAAATTCTGTCGCTGAAAACTACGGAGAATAAGAAGGAAAAGCGCATTTATTGAGCAAAGATTCGCGGTGTGAACTTGCGACGAAACAGACTACTATTTTCTTCTTAAACAAAAAATTACTTCAAGGGAACCGACAAACCTCAGCCAACGCCCAGATATTCACTACCGCTCCCATCGTTATCTCTTGTCTGGGCTGAAACGTGCTTAACCGGCATTTTTTCTTTCATCGTGCTCTTTCCATTTTTGTATTCAACATGATCATTTATTAAGACCAACGCCACCGAGTACAAGTATTTCCCTAAACGTACGAGCTAGAGGAATTAACTGATGCGAATTCATGCCTCCCTGAATTCCCCTTAGAAGACAGAGTTCTCCACCAGTGGATTTTGCTCAGTTTTTCGGTGTCTTCGCACCAGTCCCCCAAAAAATCGTTACCAAACGTATTACAGGTTGTGGTTGAGTTGTGGCAATTACGCTTGAAGAACTTTACCATAAATAACAGGAGTTCTTTTTCATTCTATTAAATACCGGATACTGCATTGACTTTGAGTTTTCCCAGACCGAGTCATACGAAACAGACAGACTGTGGCGCTTATTATCATTATTGAAATACAAATGCAATTTTCTTAATTGGTTTTTACTTCGAGATAAAGCCCTGAAGAAAAACCATAAACAGGTAAAGATTTACTTCGTGTTCAAGACAGGTAAAGGCACCCGCTAATGTGGACTAAGCCGTGTCTGTGATGAATAAAATCCCTGTTTGAAACATCCCAAACATTTGGCTTTTTGATATGTTCACTAAATGGAACACCTTGCAAGGCGCTGTTGGATATCATTGTAACTCGGACTAAGTGATGGTCGGAGACTATTAGAAAAAAATTTCTGAAAATGAAAGATACTTCATCTTAAAACGACCGGGCACGTGTGGTACTCCACAACCATGCGTTGGCGAAGAAATATTTTTATTTTCCTCGTATCATGCCTTCAGATTTTCCTTTTTGCAAGTGTTTTTTATCTTTTTAGGAATTGCTTCAAAAAATCGGACTTAACGACTAAAGGAGTAGTAACAGAAATTGGTCAAAGGGAAACGGACCGAGTCGGTCCTTCATTCAAAATGGTGCAAGCAGCATACGACAAGATGTCCTCGTTAGATCACTTTCCGACGCAAAAGCAGACATTACACCTAAGTGGAAGTGTTGACAAGAACGAAACGGGTACGTTTTTAAGAGCAGAGGCGGATAATACTTTAAGGGAAGAGAATGAAATTTATCTTATGAGGAGGAAACACAAAAAGACAAGATTAAAACTCATCGTAGCCATTCTCAGCGCACCGATACGATTTGATCGACGGGAAGGGATACGACGAACTTGGATGAACCAATGTTCATCGGAAGAAGTCGTATGTCGTTTCTTTACCGATAGCTTATTCGACATGGAACCGAACGTGCGAAGTGTTCTTGTCAACGAAAGCAACCAATACGGCGATCTGGAATTTATGCCAATTCCCAAGGGATATAACTTCGGACTTCGGCTGTTATGGTTGATGGAATGGTCTGCGGAAAGATATGAGTTTGACTTCTTCTTGAGAATGGACGATGATTACTTCGTCTGCTTAAAAAGACTGCTGTTCGAGATCCCCTTCAGGCCTCAGAAAAGGTAAGAACATACTTCACCGCACCTAGACTGACTTGCTATGCAATACGAGGATTTTCGGTGTAACTTAGACTCCCACCTAGTTTAGTAGTTAAAATAGGTTCTTGTTTACTTGTTCACAGCTGTTACATTATTATATGAGAGTACAGTGCTTTTCTCCCGGTATGTTAGCAAACCATAAAGTTAATGATTTTGTAACAGCATACGTTATCTTGTGAATGAACCGTAAACGATTGAATCATTTCATGTACGTTTATCTCGTAAACGATTCTGAATTCCCCTTGGCAAGAAAGTCAAGTAACTTGTCATAGTTATAAAAACTATTTTCCTCGAAAAAGCCATCACTTGAATCCTCAAATTTTAGGAGATGATTTGCGTTGAAGGCGTTATGAAACTGGTTTTAAATAAATCAAAATTTCTATAAACAGAGCATATGAAGTGGAGGAAATAATCCAAAATTTCTATATCAAACAGGAACAGGTACCAGCCAATTTCCTAGGTTGTGTTTACTCTTTCCGTTGATCTCTTGAGCTTTTGATCGCAGAACGGGTACTTGATAGATTTGTTTTGACAATATAAAACTAATAAAATTAGAGAGATGAAAAAATATTAAGCTCTCATCTACTTCAAGAGACTAAGAGAGAGAACAAGAACTGGGTCATTTCATATCCTCTTACACTAAGCCGTAAGCGCTCTTACGACTCAAACTAACTAGACTCAAGCTCATTGGCCCCAGTCGTCTTCAAAACGTGTGCGGCGCTCAAGTCTGGAAGAAAGGCTCCCATGCTGACCGGGTCGTTTAATTGCGCCTTTGAAGACGACAGGGAGCGAGTTAGTGATTAGCCGCAATAATCTGGTGCTGTCAAAAAGCTCCCAAAAGAGGGTTCAAGTGTTTCTCAGAGCACACAAAATCACACGAAAAGGGCCCCGAAAAGTTCTTAGGTCTTTTGAGAACCGCGTAGACCTCTTTTCCTTTGCTTAGCACTTACAAGTTTTTACTGTGATTTCCAATTTGCGTTTTTTATACAACAATCCCTTCATAATGAAGGTTGTAGCCAATCATGTTTTTTTTCCCATACTTTTAGACTATATTGGGGTTATGTTCACTGTGAAGTGGAAGGACTGGTACGAATAGACGAGGGTTTCCTCCTATTATCAGAAGACTTGGTATTGGAGTTTACGCGCAAGAGAAATAAGTTGCTTTGTCATCCGTTCGGTGATCAAACAGTCGCGATATGGATGAATGATGTTAAAAATGTTATTTTCTTTCACGATCCTCGAATATTTCACGACGTATCCGCGAAAGTTCCCGAGTTCAAGTCTTTTGATAAAATGTGTTTGAAGTACATCAGTCTGCATGGATCTTATTTGCACGAAATGTTGCTCTATTGGGAGACCTCTTCAAAAGAAAACCATTCTACTTTTTGGGTCCCTTCCATTCAGCCAATCAGTAACCTATGTCCGTTAAGCACGCGTTTTGATTGGCGGGCCATGGGAGGCCCTCCTTATGGTTATGAACCAAAACCGTGCGTGCTGAAACCTCTCTGGGACATTGGAAGCATGCATCGAGGAAGGAACATGATGTAAGGACCCTTCATCCCAAAGAAATCGAAGAACAAGACTAATGTGGACAATATTGATCAAATCATAATAAACGCAGAAAACCATACACAATTTGATTCGGCTTAAACAGGTCCACTTTGTATGGACCAATCTACGGTTAGCGCTTGCGGTTTAGTTTTTCTGACGCCTTATTGATTACTTTTTGAAAAGAAAAGCATACTCTTCCCTAAATGTCTGTTGTAGCCAGTCTCAGAATTTATCGAGATAAAGTTAAATCAATCATAAAAGAGTTAATGTCTAATTAGGAAAACCAAATTAATGGCCTGTACTTTCATAGTGACTTTTAACAGCTAAATTACGCGAACGGCAAACATCAAGATATCACGTGACATACTTCTTGATGCGTGATTTGAAGTTTGCAGTCCACGTGTGAACATCAGAAATGCTCTTTTGCGGTAAGTGATTTACGACTAAGTTTTTCTCACACTTTGAGACTCAAAACTCATGTTCTATGCTCTTATTTAATTCCTGTATTACCTGAAATACCGTCTAGACACACAAGTTTAATTGGACACTTAGAGAGTAGACAGATTATAATAGTTTGATTTGGTGTGTGTAAAAGCGTTCTGAAATTCTTACAAACATGGCGTTTGGAAACCTTTGCATGTCCTTCTATTGACAGATTTATTGACTAAATTTACACTTTTCTTTGAAAGATGGCTCCTTTTCGATTTGCCTTTTATTTAGCATTCGATGTCGTTAACGTTTGCTAGATTCAAGCGACAACGTCGTTACCGTTATTCGGGAAAAGCTGTACACATCGTCAAAACAGCGAGAGGACCCAATTAATTATGGAACCAATGTCTAGTGGTGGGTAATAAAGAAATGCAAAGTGCAAGCATACGGCAAACTGTAAACTGCAAGCCATAGTCTGCCGTCCGCGATTGTTTTCTATCTCAATCTTTAAGTCTCTTATTTATTTACGTCGTGAAAAGTGTATGGAAACATGCAAAAGAAAGGCAAGTTTTCTACATTCGATTTCCATGGTGGTGTCTTTTTATAATGATAAATTTTGCAAAATAAAATTATTTTTTACATAGTCAGTATTTTTGAAAGAATATCATGACTTCTGGTATGCACTTGAAGTGTTTGCTAATCTATTTCTAGTAGTAGTAAAATATTTCTATACGATTGTTTTAAAATCACTGTATATGCAGTCATAAATGTAGCTTTTTTAAAATTAAAGTAACACATATCATTCGCCGGAAAAAAAATCAATCTTTAGTCATGTTATGTCACTTTTTTCCAATTTTGATCTTGGTGATCTTGGTCACAGTGAAAGTTTCAGCGGTACTGGTATAAAAATTAATATATGTTAAATATGGGGACATATCTAATGTATTCAAGGCACATTATATGGGTACATTGAATCTTCTCACACACATTGCACCTATTAAGAAAACGAATTGCTCCGCGTTCGCCCCCTATCGAGTTCGCCCCTATCTTATGCCGTGTTCGCCCCCACACTTTTCGAGTTCGACCCCATCAAGTCGAGTTCGCCCCTTGATTGAGTGATATCCAGATGAGTTGATTTGTGACGAAGGCACTAGCAGAATGTGCCAAATGTCACGTCAGCGACGACCATTTTGAATTTCGGCAATTGCGTGGAACCTGCTTGGGAACTGGGTTGACGGAATCAACTAAATACTCTACGTGGGATCTGGGGTTACCAGAAATAACTGTATACACTGAACTTGTGGTAAAGAGAACCACACGGTTTATCTAACGAACACGAAATGTGTAACAACCAGACTTGAGAAGATGCAAACCACGCTTTCATCGCGACAGCATTGCTTAAGTTGTTAGACTTGTACCCGTTTAGCTTTATTTATGAAATTAAGACCGAAGAATTTACTCATCAACTTACGAATCAACTCATCTGGATATCACTCAATCAAGGGGCGAACTCGACTTGATGGGGTCGAACTCGAAAAGTGTGGGGGCGAATACGGTATTAGGTAGGGGCGAACTCGAAGGGGCGAACTCGATAGGGGGCGAAAGCGGCGGATACCAAGAAAACAATATGGCGGACTCATAGCATTCCGGTCACTAATGTCCTTCCTGTAGTTTGTGTTTTTAAGGGTGTCACTTAACTACCTATCAGCAGACCGCAGAGCTTCCACAACCAGCAAAACTTATGGAACTATTGATTTTTTGTAAAAAATAATAATGAAATAGAATAGAAATTAAAAGTATCTTAACACTGTTTGAGATTTTGTTTTCAGCTATAAAGAAGATAACTTTAAAAGAGAAATGTGCTTATTTCATCCACCTTAACGTCCAACCACAGGACACCCAAGCTCATGCTGTGAATATGCAAATATGTTCATGTTGCACAATGGGTGAAATATAAGGATTTGCATGGCAATAAACAGTCACGCTCTCAATCTTAAAAAGATCTAGATTTGTTTTGAATGAGCACAAATTTATTCTGCCAGAAGCCCCAGTAAAAAGTCTGCTTTGCCACTTAATGATCAGTTCTTTTAATTTCTGGTGCATGTCAAGCAAGGCTTTCCAATTGAAGACTTGGCTGTAAGATTTAAAGTTAGTCTCAGTACATAAGGTAGAGTATTTTTGACAGTGGCAAATTTTCTTTACTTGATGCTTGGTCACATACCCATTTGGCCCACAAAGGCTCTATTTTTTTGTTTGAGGCCAACCTGTGTGATTGTTTCATGCAAACTTAGCTGAATACTTGTGTCATCTTGGACTGCATAGAGATTAAGGTGCAGACCCCAAGTTCCAAAGTTTTTCATTCTGAATTTTACACCACATATAAGAGCCACACCTCTTATAAAGACCTGCTAGGTATTTTCCCAAATGGGGCAGTGACCTTTGTGAGTTCTTTATTCCAGGGATGTACATCAGACAAAAAGGTCATACATTAATGTGGTATTCTTGACTTGTTAGAGGAAGGATCTGAAGTAATAGCAGATAGAGGGTTTTTGATTGAAGACCCTCTAAAAGGGTTGGTTGAAGCAACATCAGTGATTCCTCCATTCTTAGGGAAAAGCAAAGGTTGTAATGTTTCAGGAGGTAAGCTGTTCACAGCATCAGAGGTTTCTAACACCCAAGAAATTGCTAGACTCTGAATACATGTGGAGAGAGCTATAATGAGGATCAAGGAATACAATTTCTTTGACACAGTTCAGCCCCTTGTCTTAGGTGGTTCAGTAAATCAGGTCTGGAGTTTTTGTTGCTTTCTTACAAATCTGGAAGGACCAGATTAAAAATTGTCTTTCATAATTTTAGGTGTAGTCCTAAAGTCTAGGATAATTAGGATATTGTGGGACTGTAAAAAATAAATGAGTTGTCCTCTAAGAGGTTGACCAGTGCCATGCCCACTTTAATACCAGCTCATATTTAACACTTTAACACTCCCACAAGTGATCAGCATGAATTTTCTCATTGAAATATAAATACTTTTTTAAGAAAACAATTGATGAGAATAACAAAAAATCAGGGGCTAAGGGTTACAGCATTGCTGTAACACCAAATTCTTGGCTTTGATTTGGATCTGAAATTTCTCATTTGAATATCAATACACTATCATGCCAGGCAACAGGAGATGGGATACAAAAATTATTAACTGAGGGTTACTGTGTCACTGTTACACCAAACTCTTGGAATTTATGCTGAAGGAAACATAAATTTATGATTGCATCTAAGGAGTGAAAAAGTTAAGATGGTTGCAGGTACATTGTATTGGCATAATTTTTCCACTAATAACTAAACTGGTAGCCTATGTAACCACTTTATTAATGTCCTGTTTGCATATTTATAGTGTGATGCAAGGGACTGAAAGTATAGCTTCCAAAGTATGCATTATTTTAGTTTCTGGGGCTTATGATAGCTCACACAACCCCCTACCTTAGGATCTAAATTACATGACCCACCCTAAGGTATAGACATGCTCACCCCAATTAGCGCTCTGAACAACCCTACCTTATTCATACTGACTAGTCTCTAATTTTTTAATCATAAGTTCAAAATAAAATGTTTCCAATTTGTTCTTCATGGCTCTTAAAATTTCATTGTCTGATCTTATTCTTTCTAAGTAATGGTCAGTTTTGCACCAAACAGATAAATGAACCCATTTACTATCTGAGGGAAGCAAGGGCTCATTCTCTTGGTAGTGATAACTGTGAGATTTTTTTAGTTTAAGCACACCATTAACTTCTTTTAGGTATGGCAGTTCCACAACAGTCTGACAAAGAGCATTTTATTTCTAGGGTACCCCATGGATTTTCCTCTCTATGATTGTAAACTCAGCAGTCAGGAGAACATGCCATATGCATGTCAGCATAGCTCATGGTTACACTTTCTTCATCCTCAGATCCATATATAATTGCAGCTGTTTGAACTGTTCATAAAGTGTTCCACATGTAACTCAGAATCTTCCTTAAAGGAAAAGAAATCCTTGAAATTACTTGCAATCAATATTTGGGCTATAAGCTTGTGCAACATTAAGTTGTCTGCCTGATTGCGTGTCTCTTTTTCATACAAATTTGCCTGATCAAGAGACAGGTGTAAGCCATCCATGAAGTTCTGCTGTGACATGGTCAGCACAGTGGAATATGCCTGAGTTAAATGAGATAAGATAGATAAAGGAGGATCAGCTGCCTAAATGTTTATGTGCACTTTTGGCCTGTTAGACAGTTTGACTCTCTGTTGATATGAAAGCAGAGACCCTTTTGGGACATCTCCAAACTTACAACTTACTTAACTGACATCTTTACTTATGGGTATGGCACTGTGGAGCTGTATTGATGGAAAGTTCTTGATTGCCGTCCTCAACTTTTCAACAACAGACCAGTCTCCCATCACTTTAGGAATAAGATTAGGGACACCTTGGGAGGTGTTTGGTACATTCCACGTTTGGGGTTAAACGTTTTGGAAACGGCAGGAAAGACAGTCTTAAGATTGATTTAGACCTAGTGCCTGATAGTAAACCAGAAGACAAAGTAGACTTGCAACATAAAATTAAATAATTATCAAAGACGCCAATCTCATCCTTAACTGTAATTTCCATGGTTCGTCCGTCGTTTTTCCCTTGTGATTTGTACCTTCGTACCTTAACGATGACCTCGTTTTCCTTTCGGAAGATTTTACTGTGATAATGATTTGTGTACCCTGTTACAAACTTCACAAATGTTAACTTACAGAGATTTGAGTAAAGTCTAAGTTTTTCTGTTACTTACCTCCCACGTCGAATAAATATCCTTCGCAAAAATTACAATAACCCCGCATCAAAACTTTCTTAGGTACCTTTGCTTCTTCTTATGCCCACTCTTTGAAAAATCGTAAGCTTATTTCGGGTAAATTTTTTAAAGATTTGCTCCAGCACTAGAGTTCAGGAAACGCCGTCACCACTTTGTGTGTTTACCAAGTCACGGCTAGCCTCGTTTTGAATCCAAAATGGCGGAAGCGTTACAAAGGGTTATACTTCGACGAGCCATGGATCTACCGGAGAAAAACTCATCCTATAAGCAGCAGGAATACTGGGATAGACGCTTTTCGAAAGAGGACAACTTTGAATGGTGCAAAAGCTACAAAGATTTCGAACATTTAATCAACGAACATGTGAACCGTAGTGATCGAATACTCATTTTAGGCTGCGGAAATAGCTCTTTAAGCGAAGACATGTACCGTGACGGATATAGAAATATCGTTAATATCGACTTTTCAGCTGTAGTAATTGAGAATATGAAACGGAAATGCAAAGATTTAACCGAGATGCAGTGGATGGTGATGGACATGACAAACATGACGTTCCCAGAAGGTTCGTTTGAAGTCATTATTGAGAAGGCAACTTTGGATGCATTAATGGTGGAAGAAAGAGATCCTTGGAACCCTACAGGAGATATACGAAATAGTATGGATTGTGTTCTATCGCAGGTTAATCTTCACTCTGTAACTTCTATGTCATATATAATTTCAATTTTAGCATTTTTTCCTCTCAAAAATTGTTTTCAGTCAGGGTAACAGAAGGGGAGGGGAGCCTCTTACCTTCCATTCCTCCCTCGTGGAGAAAATTACTTTTTACTTCATGCGTATGGAACTTTGATGAAATTCGCAAATTATCTGTGTTGGTACGCATTTAACTTACAACCATAATTGTGGAAAAACAATTTGAAGGTACATTATCACAGTGTTTATGTGATAATGCTTGAGTGTACAGTGTCTCTTTGCTTATATGAATATGATGTACCTGTGTTGTAACATTCTATCCCTTGTTTCTTTCCACAGGTGTCTAAAATTTTAAAAGATGGAGGACGCTTTATTTCTGTGACATTTTCACAGCCTCATTTTAGAAAACCTTTTCTTGCAAAGTTACAATATAATTGGTCAATATCTCAACAGACATTTGGTGAATCCTTCCATTTCTTTTTCTATGTGATGGAAAAAGGAAGACCAATGAGTGATGAGGACAAAGAGTTGGAAATTTATGTGGAAAATAAAACAAAACATGACAAGGATAACAAGGGTGAAAATGAACCATGTTGCAGAGTTGCTGAAGACACTGAGGATTTTTTATTTTATGTAGCTTTGTAACTATACTCTGAGCAGGTGCTCAAATTATTCCTGGAACCAGTTGCAAATGAGTTAGACCAGAAGGCCTGATCAAGCTAGAGGTCACATATTGTAGAGCTGGAGGAAACTCTTTCCCAGGTCCCTACTCTCTTGCTCATGTTACTTTGAAAATCATCGATTGCTTGATTGAGGGATGCTTAACCCTGTAACTCCCAGATGTGATCAACATGTAACTTCTCCCTATAATATCCATACATTAACCAGCAAACAGGTAATAAGAATACCAAAGTTATCAAGTGGAAGTTGTTATCTTCATCTTACACCAAATTCTTGTCACTAATTTACAAGGAAATGTGTAGCAGCTAGAGGGGAGAATTAACAATCAGATCTTAGGAGTTAAAGGGTTTAGACAAGTTTGACTGTAGGTTGGATTGACCATGTGAATAGGTTATTTTTCCTACAACCAGATAAAGAGTGGTTTGTAAGTTATAAAGGAAATATATGCCAAGGAATTTCAGTGCTTGGGGGCTTGTAAAGAAAATGTCATTTTCATCTGAGTTGGCAAATCAAAATTACAGAGCTTATGAATGAAAGGTAATTGTGGGGTAATTGCAATTATGATTCATTACATTGAAAACAGCACTAAAGTGCAACATTTGGGAGTAAATATTTTATTTACCAATTTAAGGCAACATTTGTCTAATTTTGCTCACAGTACTCTTGTAAGATACTTGATATATTCATCTTGGGAGGAGGTAAAAGTTCCCTTATACCAGACAAACAAGCTAACCAACAAGCAAACAACAAAAATAGCTTACCAACAATACTGTATCCACACACTTTTAACTTTGGTTTTTGTTTCCAGTTCTTTTAGCAACAATTTATTTCACTTTCAAAGTAAGCCCTGTTACCAGGGCTTGCTAAGTCAGCATGGAAAATTGTAAAATTTTTCTATCCAAATAGGCTTGATTACTGAGAATGAGACACTAGTTTCTTCTCCACTGATAACCTGTATGAAATTTTCAAACACGAATATGGCAAGATAAGGCAAGATCCCAGAAACTAAGAAAGCCCCCTTTATCCATTGACTAAGCTCCTTTAAAGAGGCCTTGATGTGTCTACACAGATGTATCCACCTAAGTTGAGTTGGCTGAATGAAGGCAGTCTAGATACTGATGAAACTATTTCCAGACTCCTCTGATCACATTTGGCCAACATAATCAGCAAATAAGGTGCCATGATGCAAGTAGTCAACAATT